GGACATCCTTAAACAGAACTGTTGAAACTTTGGCAGCCCGCACTACGATACTCTTGTCCTTCTGCTTGTTCCAATAAAAATAGCGTGAATCCGATGACGGTAGCGGCAATCTACACACAGAGGTAAAATTAAGGAATTTATATCACCTGTAACCAAATTTACTGCTGCATCAGTTTTGCGACCATCGTAACCAAAACAAGCTTCCATCCACGTCCGGCAAAAATGCCGACTGACGCGGGAAAGCTTTGCTTAATTCGTCATAGGTTCCTGCATGCACTTAAAAGGCCAGAAAACAACAAAACGTTTTGGACAACGGGCAACAAAATGATTATGCAGTTTATACTAACCGTCACGAGGAACGATCTGTTGAGATCAGCGAAACCCACCACAGTTAAAGAAAGAGGCTTAGTTAAAATCCGCTGTAAAAAACTGTATAACTCCTGAAAATCCTTAATTTGCATATGCAAATCTTCCACTGTTGTCGTGGCCTCGGATAGCTGCGGAACCCTTCCTGAATGACCGCTGCTTCGCTGATGGAAGTAAATTATTTGTTGTAGTATTTCCACTGACTTTTCACTCTAGCGTAGATAAAGAAGAAGCAAACATATCATAAAAGCGATGTAAATAAACATGTCAGAATATACAGGTCTTACTATAGATGTATGTGTTATATATAAGGGACGTTGGCAGTTTAATTTATTGCTTCGGCCCATTATTTTTCGTACCTCTTCGTGCAGTCGAATAGGATAGACGCAAATAACAGCCATTTGATAGAAATACATCATACAACCCAATGCAGCGATTATAAATCCCAATGTCGAAAGACCTCCAGGACGAAAAAATCCAGCCAACGAAGAAAACGTCATCATGAAGTATCCAACAACCGCCACAAAAGTCTGAGCTGACAGGAGCCCCTCATGCTCATTAAAAACATCCACCAGTTGTTCATAGTTGTCCCTGATGTCTGCTACTTTGCGTATAAACTCCTTGTACTCACTCCTGCTCAGCCCGTTTTTATGCACTATACGAATCTCGTCGCGTAAGGTAACCAGTTTTTTATTGAACTGCTCCGAGCACTCTTTTAGAATTCTTCCAAGTGAAGCCAGGAAAACCACAATGGACCAGGCTAGTAAACTGCCAACAATTTCCGCTATATACGAGGCGGTATATAACACCCATTTGTTGATAAACCGGAAATAGAAAGGAATTCTGTCATTCGGATCACCTTTCGTGTATACAATGAAGGCCGCGAAACCTAACCGGACCATAGATATGAGAATTGGGACCACAAATATCGCGGCGCACAGTATCTGATGTATTTGTTGTCGTCGTCGGGAGACCGGGAAAAGATTGAGTAAATTTTTAAAATTTCCATCTATGTATCCGCGTAAAGAACGCGATCGGAGAACGAACAGCATAATTATTGCCCAATTCTTTCCCAACACCGCCGTGCTTCGGATGTGCACCAATAACATAAGAATGCGATTGTTTCCGGAAAACAGCTTTAGCCATAGTGATTTATTAAACACCCATAATAATAAATCCTGCGCAAATACAAATGTTAAGAATAAAACCAAAAATACTAGAAATGTCAGTCGCAAGTATCGCCATATTGGGTGAGACTTGCGCTGGCTGCTGTCATGTGGATAATGCCCGGATGGAATTAACAAAAATAATCGCAATATGTGCCACACCGGAATTATGAAGATCATTTTACCGAAAAGTTGTATTTACATGTTGTTCTAGCCGCTTGTGTGGATATTTATTACACCCAGCTAGCACGCGACAGCGCGATTTAGAAATGAATAATCAAGTGTCAAACTTTTACGGCCGTCTAAAATAACCGTTATATTTATTGCACTGTTTTATAGACGCATATTTCATCACATGGCGGATGGGGTTATAATTAGCAGTAGCGTAATTTTTGCGGGCTGGATGACAGAAACGTCGTTGCCTACGCAAAGAAAGCATAACATGAAGATAAGTAATAAATTATGTTCAGGCTGATTGCTTGGAAAGACTTGGGAAAAACTCTTGGAAGAGTCGTCATATGAGCATCAGAATCGAAAGTATACATGGTCGCATATCCATCAACATATTAAGCCGGTTCACAATGCTGTAATTGTGCGTGTAGTCTGGGCAGGGCGTGAAGTAAAACCTCCAGCTGCGGCAGTTAGCAAATTCTCACAGTGCTCATTATTGTAATCGTAGCAAATAGAAACACCGTCTGCGGAATTGAACCCAAACAGGAAAAAATATTTTGGCGTACAAATTGCATCACAAGCAGGCAAAAATACGGTTTAAAAATATCATGCAGCTCCAACTGGTTTTTAGTTAACATCGGCGCAAATTACCGAGAACACTACAAAATTTAAGGGGATGTGAAATTACAGAGGAGAGCAATGTCGACTTCTTCCGCCTTATCGGATTCGAATTCCGCAGATTTTTCAATAAGGAACCCAATAAATCCAAATAAAATGCAGCACCACTGAAAACAAAATGGAAAAGCATACTGGCAGCATGCGACGATTGCATGTACTGTATTTACATTTTAGAAAATATGCTACACTTTGCTCAAAATAAGAATACAAATGCTGTGGCTATGACTCTGCCAGGTGCAACGCGGTTTGCAGCTGTGATAATAATACCAGTATATCAACATAAAAATTAGTACATCATCATATTTTTACAATACTTACCGTTACCAGAAATCCTCTGCTAAGATTCACGCATACACCAACAGTTAGAACTGGAGGACAAAAAACCGCGCGCTGGATAAACTGCATCAAAATAACCTCCGCAGTTTGGCTCTAAGAAGAAGGCAAATTAAATAATCATTGTTCAGCAAATACTGCAAAATATTTTAGTACTGCAAGTGTCAGCATTAACAGTAAATGCCGATTAGGTATTAGCGTGATTATTTGCAGTTTTGACTGTGCCACAGTAACGTTTTCACAAATGCTTTGACACAGGTAACTTTTTACAGCTTTTTTGCATTTGCCTTACATATTACCGGAGAATAATCATTGAATATTTTGCATGCCGAAGAATAAAACTGCTTATAAAATAACTACAAAACTTACATTCATTCGCTCTGGAGAAAGTATTGGTAACGATCTACATCCACTTTGAAGGCGATACAGAAGTTTTTGCGCCAACTCGACATCGACCGCATTCTGTAATATTTATAAAACGGATTTGAAATCTTCACGTGGAATTATACGAAGTGAATGTAACTGGTAGTAGAATTGTAAACCCAAACCTTTTCATGTATCCTAGCCGGAATGATGATCAACATCAAGATAATTACAAAATCAAAAACACAAGCCAAAAGGCAATTTGCCCATGACAAAGAAGTAGTTCTTGGCCGAAACAAAGTTGCCAGTGCCGAAAACAATGTAAGATTAATACTGGTTACAACAGTGAAAAAGTACATATTAAAAATGTCTTCATGCTCGGTTATGAGGTTATACAGCTCTTCTTGCAAATTCCGGCATCTACGCAGCCCTTCAATGACCTGAACACTCGTTTCCGGTTCATGGGAATTAAGTGAATTTTGCTGTAAATCAAACAGTTCTTGAACAGCGAAGTTCAGTTTCTGACAGCATATTACCACACCCGTGGTCATTGATAAGGTCTTGGTGACAATGGACGTAAAGATAAGTCCGCCACAAATTGTGCCAACACTGTAGATAACGAACACAATCCAATGTGGCGCATGAAAAAATCCCCATGGATAAACTTTCCAAAAATTGCTATTCAGCAAAGCAATGGTTGCTAAAACCACGCGTATGCATACGATTACGTTTAGCAAAACGCATAGCAAAAGGAGCCATGCTTTTGCTATTAGGATAGTTTTATCTGAGATGCCAAAGGAAATAGAAAATACTTTGAGATTTCGGCGATGTTGGCGTATCTCTTTTGATTTCCATAATACGATTACAACGGTCAGACATGTTCTTAGCACACAGAAAGCCGGGTGAAATAGCGCCATTAAAGTGATGACGCGGTTCTGCTGGTTTAGATAATTGGCCAGCCATGAACTATTGCGAAAAAAATCGATCAGATCATAAATCAGCAGAACCCAAAAGGCAAACGCAGTGGTCAAAGGAACCAGAATTCTGAAAGCGGTTTTTGCATTTGCTACCGTTCTAGAACAGCGAAGATCCCGACTGGCAGAGACACCGGCATTATTATACTTGACAACGAAAATATCAGCTATTGACCAAAAGAAACCACAAGTCCTTATAACAGACTCCATTGGAGAATCATAACTTTATAATTCTAAGTTTTCGTTGTCAGACAGCGGAAGAAAATCCAAAGGCCATTTTTTCGTTTAAATTTAATGCACAATTATTACAAATACAGTACGAGATTCGACCATAAGACGTTAACAACTTAACACTCAGAATACGCATATGGAACGGCGCAGATGGTACAGCGCGAATACTGTCAGCGCTAAACGCTTCAAACAGAAGCACATGTCGTTGCGAAATAAATAGATCATTCCAGGATGACGTTTCTGCACGCGCGTGATCATTTTCAGGTTTGGAACTATGCATTAATTATCTAGGTGCTTGCTTTATTACTTCTACGGATGCACTGAATGTGTCTGGCGGTTTTCTCACATTTTCTGTTGGAGTGTTTTTCGGTTGACTTCGGTAAACTTAATGAAACTTGAGCTGGGGACTTCATCAATGCTACGTATAGGAACGATTGATCAAGCAATTAGAAAAGATTAATGATCAGCATTCAATGTAAATTAAAAGCTCCGCTTACCTATTGCTGTACTCTGTATTGTACATTCGCGCGTGCGATGTACACATATAAATGATATTATAATATTTTGTATACAGTACTTCTTTAACTTTGATTTTATTTTCGAGACGGTTAAGCCCCTGGAAAAGCCGGGTGGCTTAAATTTGGCCTTGTGCCGCGAATGCCTGGAGGAAAGGTTTTTCTGTAGATACAAAGATGTTGTAGATACAAAGAGGCATTTCCAGTAAATTAACACATATTTAAAATTAATAATTACCAAATTAAATAGTAAACAATATGCAACAAACTAAATAATTTACGAGAACCCATTTTTGAATCAAAATCTTTCACCTGTACAGGTAAACAGAGATCATTGAACTGTGGAGGATTACTATTCATTCGCACATGCAGGTGATAACACACGAATCTTCGTTTCGTTGCCGAAGGGCTGCGAAACCGGTTCGGGATATCATGATCGGTGTGAACGCAGTTGGGCAACGTCATGGCAATCAACGTTGCAGATTAAAAATCCGAAGATAAAGAACAGCATGAATACATTGTGGGTTTTTTAACCGAGAAAATGTTTTGAGATACACCAGGTAGCCACACCATGGATAACGGCGGGATGACTTCCAATAAGCACGTATCTTTTCTAACACACGTATACCGGCGTCTACGTTATCAAGGCGCTACCCAATGGATAACACTGATATTAGCCGCATCGTGTGTATCGTTGTGGATGTTTACAGCACCTTTAAATTCATATTTATACCGTGGAGATCCCGCATTAGCAAGACCTAGTGCACCGTCGGAAAGTGAAAATAGTGCAGGAGAAAATGAACTGAATGAAATCAGTGGCAATAATGGAGAGAATAATAACCCCGCAACTGTCTCACTGAATGACTTCCCGGAAATAGAATTAGCGCCTGAGTTCACCAGTTCACGATTCTGGGATGGTGTCGACTGGGATGAACCACTCGAGATGCCGGATCGGGTAGCGTCCAAAGTGGCAGAAATGCCGGTGGAAACCGGTGAAGAAGATGTTGAAATGAAATATCCAAATGGAGAGCTGCACGTAAGATAACTACATAAACTAAAGTTAATTCGGTAAATCTAGAGTAGCTATTCTTCTACGTGTACTTCTATATTTCATATTTTAAATGGGGTTTATACACTGATACATAATTGTATTAATGATTAATACGTCTGCGCAAAGGCTCATAATTTGTATCATGATTCTAAAATTTCCGCGTTTTCATCGATATATGTCTTTCTTAAATAATATAACTTGTCGGATGCAAAGCAAACCGCCGGTATAAGTACTACTCGTAGTTGTTAGAGTTTTATTTCTTCTAGGTAACAACGGTGTTCTACCGAGAGTCGGTGCCAAAAACCAAGAAACTTGGTGATGTCTTGTTGTTGCATGGGGCTCGGTTCAATTCGGAAACGTACGTCACCGCACACATATTTCAATCGGATATTCAAAAAATAACGTGTTCCACCAAATTACAGTTGGGTCACCGTTGACACGACGAAGACGTTAGCGGCAATGGGCTTCCGTGCCACCGCAATTGATCTTCCTGGATTCGGCAACACCCCTGGTTCTGTTCTTTTTGGTGATCGTGCCGTGATGTTTATAGAGAATTTCTGTCAGGCACACAAAATCACAAAGCCCATCATTGTGGCACCGTCCATCGGTGGCCAGTATGCACTACCTTATATCATGGCGCGCCCGTATAACGTTAGCGCATTAATCGCACTAGTGCCAACCGCACCGGAAAGGTTTACGAAAGACCAGTTCTATCTTCTAAAGGTAACCCTTTTTGTTTTTATTCCTTTTTAAAATATATTGACTTTGTTTAAAGACCAGTCTTATCTTTGAAATTATTGTACTGCAGTACTTTATTATTGTACTTTGATTTTTGTACTGCAGTTATGTATGTGCAGCCAAGTACAGTATCTGCCTACGGTTTGCTTGTGATTATATATAATTCAGTGTTTTCCTTTCCAGATCCCAGTATTACTAATGTATGGATCCAAGGATCATAATTTGGGAAAGCAAGTGGCCAAAGCCATGTCCAGTATTCCGAATTTTCAAGTCAGGGTGATCGAGGAAGCCCATTCCTCTGTTTTTGTTGATCAGCCAGATGAATTCCACCGGACAGTGTACACTTTTCTACGCCGGCTAGAGTTTTGGTGGCAGCGTAATGCCAACGTAACCACCACCCCGCATCCGGCCATCGTTACGCCGGAATCCGGCGATTTGCCACCGGAAGCCACGTTAGCCCCACTGAAACCGCCACCGCCCATCCGGGTGGATTACGAAAAGAAGGTGATCTACGCTGACGAACCGATTGATGCGACAACGATAGCGGCTGGTGGCATTTACATGCAACCTTCGGGTATGCTACCGCAGCTCAACCAAGGCAATTTGGCCGTTGGATATCAACCACAAATTGCCGTGGGTAACCCGCAGAATCCTGCCGAAACTGTTTATAGTAACCAACAACCGACAAGTTACGGTCAACTGCAGAGCGCGTATGCTTATCCGGAGCAGCAACCACCAGCGACAAATTTCGTCAACACCGCTAACGCCAATTACGCCAACAATATTCCCAGTTTTCAGAAAGCCGCAGCGCAGCAGCAAAAGGCTATCCCCGCCAATGTATTGCAGAACTATTCACAGCCGAAAGCTGCGAACGCGGTCACGCTAGTCGCGCAAGCCCAACAGCCAAATGCACTTTATCCACAAGTAGCAAATCAGAATAAGCCTCTGTTACCCGCAAACACCAATATTCCTTCCGGACCCAATCCATCATACAATGTTTTACAAGGCGCGGTCTCCAGTTCCATTGCCCAGAAAAAACCGATTCCTGCGGATTATCCTACCGGTGGGTTTCCTCCACCAGACCTAATCAAAGATACGGCTATTCGCAATGCCGCAACACCATCGATTCTAGCCGGGATGAGTGAGCAACAGTTCAAGACATTCCAGGAAGCAGCCGCCAAGCAGGCGGTCATTCCACCGGAAAGTATCCCCGACATTCGCCCCGTTCCACCATATGAAGCCACTAAGGAAATCCACCGCGATAAACTGTCGGGCAACGTTAACCCACCCGTGAATCTCATTAACGGAAAAGCACCGCAGGCGTTTTCGGGTGATGTGGGACAGCCCGTTTCTATGCTCGATGGAAATGACCAGGCTGTTCTGAATAAGCAGGCAAGCGACCTTGTTCCGTACCCGACCGGAAGTAAGATGGAAACTGCTCAGCAACCGCAAATAATAACTGGCAATATGCGATCCATCTGAACAATAAACTCTGGTACCCAGAAGGACTACTGATATACCTAAGCCAGTTGTGAATTCGACTAAAAAGCAGATACTGAAATTTCCCGGTTGCAGTATATGTTGCAGGTGCACTGAAATTCGTCAGGGTTGTGTTCATGGCACATGCCTCCCACTTATTGTCCAAGCATTACGATTCAGTACTTGTCCATGTTGGTGATTTAAAACCTTTCTCAAGCGACAATTTTGTACATACGATTTTAATTAATAATCTTGTTTTATGGAGTCTCAGTGTTGTTTTGCATCATAAAACCAATCACCACCAGTAGAACCAGACATCAGACAGCAAACGATAGTTTCAAGCAAACGAAAATAGCGCGTACAACTAGAAAGATTCTTGAAGTACCAGACATACAATCTACAAACACATTCCGCGACAACCCCCAACAAAAGGATCATCTTGCGAATTTCGAGGATGAGATGAATTTTAAATTAGAGGGGTTCAACGAAGGTTCAATAAGTTTAAAAACGCGCAAAAAAGCGTAATCGCAAGATACTGCTCAAGCAGCCGCAGCTTCATCTACGCAGTGCAGATTCATTCACTCACACGACATGTCCCATCACCTTAAACTCCTCCAATAACCCACCAAGAAGCTCTTCATTGTCCCGCTGCACAGCTTGGACAAATTCAGTAAGCGAATGTGAAGAAGGCAGGAAAACAGAATGAAGCCGGCATAGAATAAATAAGACTGCTTTCGTGTACTTCACTTCCTTGACTTCTTTATCTTGTTCACTGCAACAAGAAGAACAGCTCGCTTTTCGATAACGACAACACAGAGAGCTTCCAAAATATACCGTAATTATCGAATTTGCACCCCTGGGGTGCAAATAGATCAAACGTCCTGAAAATGAGTTAACCCTAGCGGATATCGTCGATTGCGCAACTGCTCCGGTGGTAACTTATGTATGAAACCTGCCATCCGGCCGATCGGATAATACCATAATACGCTGCTTTTTTCAGCAACTGAACATGCTCGGATCTTACTCTATACTATACTTTATAGTATATTATAAGTACTCTCATGGTAACCACATTGGGGATAAACTGAGATGCAGCTTTAAATGAACGCAAAAAACTCAGATACTTACTGCTTCAGCTGGTCTTTTTGCTCCACAGTCAGCTTTCTCAAAAAATCGCGCATACATCGTTGGTGGAAACGGAGCCATAAAGTAATACCTAAAACCAGGTAAGCATATCAGGAGAATAAAACTATGGTCTATGGATATCCTATTTTATAACAAAATAATCCATGTATACTCTCGTTCATTGCATCGTTCCATAAACGTTAATCACTAAATTATTTACTCTCATTTTGACTGGAAAGTCGGAAATAATGAAAATATTTTTGCTTTAATTTGCTTTACCATCTGGGCTCGAAAGCTGTGCTTCAAGAGCTCGTAATTTTGACACCAAATTCTCATTTTCCTAAAAACAGTACAAAATTGTTAGAAGTGATATCGTAAACATACCGTATTTAACATCGCTTTACTGTGCAGTAAGCACTAAGCAGTATTTAAAAACTAAAAATGTGCATGCGCATCTAAAAAATAAGAGCAGTGATAAGATGTTCAAACAGCAAACACCATTGAGAAATTAGCGTCAAGAATCAATATCACAAGCTCTGAAATGCTTCGGTTACCTTCTGCTCTTCTTCAATTTCGCGCAAGACTTCCTTCTCTTTCTCATTGAGAGCGATAATTTCACTAAAACGTCCCACCGAAAACTCAAAACGAGAAAATACTTCAAATGTATTAAAGGTACTTTTTCAGTGCTTGGTGGTTGTTCGGTGATTCATCCTCAAGAAAACGCTCCACGTTTTCCACCAGCTTTTCCTCCCGTTCAGTTTCCTTGTCGTTATCTTTTTCCGAAGCACTCGAATACGATCTGGATGTCGGCATTCTACACCAATTGGTAAATATTCAATATTTCTCGCCTTTCAGATGCAAATCAAAGTCCAAACGAAAATCAACAGTTAGGATACTCCGCAGAAAAACTTGAGCTACAGAGTACTTCAACCACTTGTCACTTGTGACTTGACTATGGACTTATCACCAGAAAAGCGCGGTAGCCAGTCCTGCACTGGTGCGCGTGCGGGGAATTTCATTCCTCACGGCAAACCGACGACAAACAAACGTATGCTTCGATCCATCACTGCTTTGTTCTGGCTGGTTTAAACGTAAACATGAATTTTAAATTTTAACAATTAACATGTTCGTTTCGTATTATCAGACTATTATTCTACTTTTTACACTTTACAGTCTTTACTTTAATCGCTTCTTCTTGCACACTGCCGTTATTGGGAGTTATTTCACTTAATTGTGTTGGTTTCCTGGTGGAAAGTAGCGTCCTCTGGATTCCGTTCCAACCGTATTAAGTTCCAGCTGAGAGTAACTAACTGCGAGAGTGCTAAAACATGAAGTTCCGTTGCAAAATGTCTGATCTGTTCAGTATCCAGCATTTTTACCGTAAGCCTACTTGCAGGTGTATCGAAAATTTTGTTTGTAAGTCCTTTTGTCTTTGAAGGGATACTCCAGACAGTTGCAAAGCTATGCGATACCACGTGCATTGTGCGTATGACTCCGACGCGTATGTTCATCTTCACCAAACCAGCCTCGATGATCGATGGAGGCGCGTATGTGCTCGCGGAGATGCATCCGGTATGTTGAGCCAAACACAAGAACATCGCCTGCGCTCCATGGTTTCGCTTGAAAGTTGAAACGAAATGTTTCGTTCGTGAAATGTTAGGAAGTCCTGTTTGATGAATACAATATGGTCGGCTACGCTCCGGATGCCAATGAGATATTTATCGAAGTTAATCCCGAGGTGCTCCTGAGAGGCTTCAGGGTTCCACAGAAGAATGCCAAATATATCAAAATCAAACTCACTAACAGAGTTGGTCCATGTATGTGCGTCGAATCTGAACTGGTATGTCGAAGATTCTCAATTAAAAATTATTCTGAAAGTATTTGCAGTTTTGGCAACGGAATGAAAGACTAATAATGGGCTATGACTTTCTTTTCATAAGACTTATTTTCATTTGATAAAGCATGATTCATGAAGCTAAACAGAAATTGTACCGTAGGACTCCGTGGAAGATGGATAGCATTTTTAATGTTGTTTTTGCTTTTTGTATAGCCGTCCATGACTATGCGTTCAAAATTTACGACTCATGACACTCCCATTATCGTTCTGGCACGAAGTGTGTGGAAAGATATAACGCCGCCGGAAGACATTCCCACGAACGTAAGTTTTTTCATCCACAAATTCGGAAATCTACCACTCCAGCAGTAGAAGTATTTCGCATGTCTGAACGAACGTTCCCGATTTTCTTGCTTATTTAACCGATTTTAATTTCTGTTGCTTGAATTTCTAGATTGGCCATCAACTGTCTTCCTTGAAATTATTTAAAACTGTTGTCGATCGCATGCGAATTCTGGGACAAGTCTGTGCAACCATTTCGGCTAGCCGCGAAAAACTTTCCGTTGATGTGGGTGGCCCAACCAGCGAATACGAAATTTGCAGCCATTTTGAAGATCTGGAAAATACAGTCGGTAAATTTTGATAGTCTGTTACCCTGAATTGTTTCTGTGATTTCTATTCGTGCGTACAAGAAAAGTTAGCAAACACTTGTTGATTTTTATTTTTTCCTTTGTAGATAGTAGTGTCGATACGGAAGATCTGACGGAAACCGAGGAAGAAATAGCCTTGGGAAACGGGCTTTACTCCGTTAAAGTGGATATCCGCCGATTATGTGCGTTCCTTTCTGCTCAACAGTATTCTTCGAATCGAGTCACTTTAAGTAAGTCGTTCAGGCAGGTGCGCACCGTTTTCCTTGTCTGTTGGCGCATTATCTTGTTTTTTTTTCAGGTATCCGACATAAACGACATTTGGTGCTTTTACTTGGCGATGATAATAAGTTTAGGCTGCGTTTCGTTCTACCTGGACAAGACTGTGAGGAATAGAAAAATTTGCCTTGTTGAAAGTGTCAAGATTTGTTGGATTGTGATGGAAAGATGTAGATGTTCGTGTATGCTCTTTGCATAATTTTGCGCTTCTTCTTTTACTAAATTTGTTATTTCTTTAAATTACTTAAATGGTTTTTTTAGGACTTAGGAGCAGCTCTTACCGTTAACTGTTAATAAGTGTTAACAATACATGGTTCCCGATAATTATTTTGAACACTGAAGGTTTGCCACATGGTAGATACTGGGGAACTGAATAAACTGGAGCTAACTTTTTTGGCTTATAAATAACTATTGAGTTGAGTTTTCAATCAATCTTGCCAAACGTCCGGTGAGGAAGTTGGTACGTCGCAATGGAAGATGGTAGCATCCCAACGATGTAACCGGGTGCTGTCGCTGGAAACTGGAAAGTAATTCTGTTCTTTCACGGTGATCGACGACCAAGGCCGCAAATGTTCACCAGGGTTTTGAAAGTATACCAGCTGACCAGCACACGATTATCTACTCTAGCTAGACCTGAAAATAAAGAAAAATGTAAGTAATCAATGAATGCCATGGGCTGGGCCAGTTCACACAATATGTTACACCTCACTATGGTATGACAATTTGGGAGCGCCAAATTTGCAGGCCGGTTACACTGATTTAACTGATTCAAAAAACCGGTTAGAAATTAGAATGATTCGATCGTGATTTAACAACTGAATTTTTATTTGATGCTGCGGTGGAGGTAATTGTGATCTGTGAGATAAGTTATTCGGTATTCCTAAACGGCTGTTTGGAGTATCCTACAGAAATTAAGCAGCGTTTGTCATTTATTGTATCTGCACTCGTACGCATGGACCGCATGGTCAACCACCACATGTACGAACCGCAGGTGCCTGGCGGTGCACCGGTGGTCAGCCGGCATACCACTGCGCAACCGCGCAAGCGCTTCCCATTCCGAAAGATTTCGGACAAAATCCAGAAAATTGTCAAAGTGCACAGTAAATTACTTTCTTCTATATTACCCTTTAATTTTTTATTTTTTGTGCATACAATACTTTTCGTACAAACACTTGAATCTGTGATCATCTTGACCGTAATACCGGTTTAAAAATTTGCGTTACGAGTCGTTAGCTACAAACAACAGTATTCATTGACGCAAATGAGTAATCCAAGGATCATTTTTAACTTTTCGGGTAAGATTCAGGTTCTGTGGTATGGCGAATGTCCGTGATACGTTGACAACGTACAAAATAGTTGATTACTTAACTCATTGTTTTGCGTCCGAAACTCGACCACCATGATGCATTTTACAAATTTCGAAATCGGTTCTCAAATTTTAAGGAAGTGTTCTGAGCCTGAATTGCGTACTGCAGTACTTACGTGATCCGTCTTCACTCTTCAGTCTTCAGTGTAAAATGTGACTTCCACAATTGTTTGCAGCAGAATATCCAGAACCATTACCGGGAACAAACACTGCCCAGCAGCTGGCCGGAGCGCTAAATGTGGCCCATTACTGTGTAACTGGAGGAATAGAAGGCGGTATTTTTGCCGCAGATCCACCCATTTCACTGGGGATGCGACGACTGGCGTTAACAGTGAGGGCCGGGAATGAGGAACGGGCTGATAAGGCTGTGAGAGAAATGAATCTACGATTGTGAGTTACTGCAATTATTACGTGTCGAATTATGTGCAACACGAATAGCCACCTAGCGATGACAGCGCACGATAGTCAGCAGGCTTACCTTAGCACTAAAGTACCGAGAAACACAGTTGCAGCCGCAGGGTGTACAATGTCGCAAGGTGTACATCGTTCGGTATTATAAAATAGCACAGTACTTCCTTAATTTTTGCAGCCTACCGCGGCACGTCGATGCTAGTTTCGGCGACATAAAAGCCAGCAACCTCCCAGGAGTACTTCAGCCACCGCCGCCTTTCGATTTTCAACCACTAGGCGGGGTTTGGCTAATTGGCAACGCCCCACCACAGAACGCTCCCCCCCTGCCGTTCCCAGTGGTAGTGGACGTAGCTCCAAACCCTGCGGGAGGCGGTAATGTAATAAGAGTGGGTCTCGTCTGTAGTCACTAGTCACCCATATTTAATTAAGGCTTAGCTAACATTTGATATATTGTGAGCAGCCGCCAGCCCCACTGCACCAACATCATCTAGGCTTCAAATGGAAGGCACTCGAAAGGCAGCCTGCAGCCCCAAAAAGCGTTTCGTAAGACTGCGTCGCCGCACCATGCAATTATGTTTTCCAGGTTCAAATACATGAGCAATCACCTCTGTTTTCTTCGAAGGTTTCTCGTCTTAGCTGTGCGTGTGGTCCCCATAAATCCCGCGAATCCTTGCCACTTATCATCTTTCTCCGGAATTGCCTGAAGTATGCGCTGACTGGTGATGAAGTTAAGAAAATCGTTATGCAGCGATTGATCAAAGTTGACGGAAAAGTCCGCACTGATCCCCCTTTCCCCGCTGGTTTCAGGGGTGCGTATGCTGCTGTTGATTTCCATTAAATTGAATGATACCATGTCCAGCATTTGCAGATGTGATCAACATTGAACGGACAAACGAGAACTTCCGCCTGATCTACGATACCAAGGGCCGATTCGTAGTTCATCGCATCACGCCAAAAGAAGCCTAGGTAAGCGTTGTTTATTTTTGATCGAATTATTGATCAAATTATTTCCTTAATTTGTTCTTGGCTTTCAGTATTGGTATGATATAAATGATTCTTTATATTATATTGGTTTGATTTGATATTGGTTTGATATTGCAATTTGAGCATTTAAAGTTTTTTATTTTGGGTATTCTGTATAACGAATGTATTCAACTAAATGCGATTACGATTGCGACAAATGGCCGTTTTGATGGACCCATTTTAGAAGAATTTTTACGTTGCATTTATTCGTCAATTTGATACTTTTTTCATCCTAGCTGGGGTGGTAATCGTTTGCTTTAGTACAATTATTCCATTATCGTAGCCTGTAACACAGTCCGAGAGGAATTTTTTGAGTGATATTTCGTGAGCGATTAGATGTATACGGTTGTAGTTTTTTTCAGTACAAACTGTGCCGCGTGAAGAAGCTGGGTGTCGGTCCCAAAGGTGTCCCGTTCTTGGTGACTGGTGATGGCCGCACCATCCGCTATCCAGATCCATTGGTTAAGACCCACGATACCATCCAGTTAGATATCGCCAGCAGCAAGATTGTCGACTTCATTAAGTTCGAAGTTGGCAACTTGTGCATGGTGAATGGCGGTCACTACTTGGGTCGTGTCTGGCCTGTCGGCACCATCACCAGCCGCGAACGACATCCGGGAAGCTTCAAGCTTCGACATTGTTCATATTAAGGAGTAAGGACGCATTGGGACACGTTTGGCCGCTCGTAAGAATGTAAAGACAATGTTTTCACGAGATCGATAGAATTAGGCCGATGATTTTGAGTTTGTTGTGGGGAGTGTTCGATTATAACGCTGTTTCGCATTGCAGATTGAATTTCGTGTTCGTTATTGGAAAGGGTACGAAGCCATATGTCAGTCTCCCCCGCGGAAACGGTATCAGGCTGAGCATTGGGGAAGAGCGAGATTGGATAATTGCTGCGAAGAGAGAAGCTGCTGCATAATTATTGTTGTATTGCGATTCATCGATGGTTTTGTGTTTTTCGCTTTATTGACATGTCTCGGTAATCCATATAAACTGCAGCTGTAGCTGCAATGTAGAAAAGACATGCGAGTAAGTACTGTATATCGAAACCGGATTGTTATTATTTTGTTGCACCGTGGACTGAGCTAGGGTAGTATTAAGTAAGTACAGTATTATTAATTTTTGAATTTAATAGCCGTACCACTTGGTAAACGCCGTACGATGGGTTAAACGCCTCCCGTGGTATGTAGCTTCTCACTCGTTACACAGAGCTCCGTAAAGAGTTTAATAAACAGTTTGAAGTGCGCGCTATGCAGATTGCACCTGCTGCAGAGTTGCGCTGCTGCAAGACCACTAGATACCAGACCTGGGCAGTCAATTTTAACTGTTTAACTTAACGCGAGTTATTTTCGAGTTATTGAGTTATAACTTAACTCTTTAGCGTAACTCGCTCAAAAGAAAACTTAACTCTAACTTAACTCTCCTCTCATAAAATTACTAGGTATATAGTATATACTATATATAGCAACTCGCGGTGTAACTCGAAACTCGGTTTTCCTCCACCATTAACTTAACTGTTAGCGTAACTCGCACGCTCCCTGTAACTCTTAACTCTAACCACGGTATAAAGGATTTCTCTGGTAGCGCAAGACACTGTAGGAAAATTCAGTACTTTTTTTGCCGTCACACTTCATTAACATTTCTTGAAAGACAAAAGAAATACAATGGGCGAAACGGCCATCAAGTTGAAAACGTGTGGCAGTGATTTTCTGACGATCCATAAGGGCTACAAACTTTTTACAGACAGAAATCCATAGCAACATTTTACGCTGATTCTGAATCTGCAATTTGTTTTTTGCAATTCCAAAAAAACATCTGAGTCGAGTAAAGTAGTAATGTGGTTTGAATCGGGCATGTAGACATAGAGGCCTGGCAGGCAGCGCGCTAGCGACAGTCTGTCTGCGCCCTACAACCCCACTCACTCCGACTGCTCCTACGACTTACATAAGGCTTACTCATATTCATAATTCGAGTTATGCAAAGATCATAATTTCGTATCAAACCGATAACGAGCATGGAGAAAATAAAAAACTAACAAGAGAATGTGCAATCCGTTTTGAAAAATTCCAAACGGTTGAGGCTGTAGGCCGTGCCACACGTTTACGCCCTTAATTACAACTTGATGCCTTTGACGAAAACATGCCGAAAAGTACTGAATTTTGTACATGCTACGTTCAGCATCATTCGCTACCAGAGGTTTATCTCTTTTATACCGTGCTCTAACTATGGGTCAATTTTCGATAACTGCCCAGGTCTGCTAGATTCCTACGGTTCAGGCCAGGCAGCTCAATCAAATTTGTGGGTGAGGCCTTTTAGTCATGTTACGAACAAATGGACAGCATGCCCGGTACTTTTCCTGCCTGGCTGGTCATTCGCTTGCACGGACAGACAATGCGAGTCGGCGCGCATCACGAGCGCACTTTTCAAAAAAATTGTTGCTGTTGACACAACATTACTTTTTGGAAGTAATGGTTGGGACAATAAAACAGTATAAAAGAGCCGCTTTCGAATGATATGAAACAGGAAACAGTAACTGCTACCGCTAATTACGAGATGCGATGCGATATTAGCCAGTTTCGTACGCTAAAAGATGGCTACATTTTAATGTACGAAGGTGGCTAATATCGGGTTTGCCAAGCAGTGGTAACAATTATTATTTCCTATCGCACATCATTCGAAAGCGGCTTTTTTATACCGTTTTATGGTCACAACCATTATCTCCAAAAAGCAATGTGTCAACAGCAACAATTTTTTGAAAAAGTGCGCTTGTGATGCGCGCCGACTCGCATTGTCTGTCTGTGCAAGCGAATGACCAGCCAGGCAGGAAAAGTACCGGGCATGCTGTCCATTCGTTCGTAACAGGACTAAACGGTGGACTTATGAGTACAATAGCCCGCCTGTCCTGTATCCATTTTGAGTTCTTGGCTGCTGTCTTCATTGGTTTCTCTGCTAACTGCAGTTCTTTCCTCTTTTGTGTCAATCAAATTATCGAAAGTGAGATTTCAGTCAGATTAAAATAAATTTTTATTAAGCACGATGGAGAATTGTGTGTTCGATATAAGGATAGTCCTTGTTCGTTTCGTTGGTTTACCTGTACAGGGCCTGCGTCACTGCGTGTCGCTTGGACTACGGATGTACTGTAGGCTGTCTGTAGTAGGGTTGTTAACGGTGCGGTTTATTACCAGTGCACCGGTGCAATTTGAAAAAATTGCGGTGCGGTTTTGAAAATAAATTGGTACAGGCGGTGCGGTTTTTGGGAAAAATCACACCGGCGCACACCGGTGCGTCTGGGTAACCGCGTTGCCGTACACCGGTTAACCACCGGTTAACCGATGGATATAATTATAATAATTTTGTAATTAAAATAAATAATTTTTGTGAAATGACGCTGCAAACTGGGTTGAAGTGGGTTCCCGCCCACAGGGTGCACATGCTGACGACTCTGTAGCCTGTAGGCTCATACGGTGACTACGGTCTATCCATAGATGAGTTGCCACAGGTGATCGCCGGTCACGTGAAAAAATAGAAGGAGAGGAAGTGATTTCACCCGTAAGCCACAACGCTAAGGGACCCATGTTTGCACCTTCGTTTCTCGCCACTGAAGTTGAATTTTGACAAGCGGATTGTGCCAAAATAATTAACATACAGGGATAATTTGCATAAGGGGAACGTAGAAACCTGAATTTTTGCATCAGCTAAGTTGTGGCTATAAGCGATTTTCCTAGGAACCCATGCTGCCTCGCATTTCCGGTTACAAATGCCTAATTTGGCGCAGTTGATTATTTCGGTTGGCGCGTCGGGTTAATTCGCTTCGGTTTTGCCACGGTTCGGCTTTTTTTTCGGTTCGTGACGTCACGAGCTCTGTGGCAACTCATCTATAGTGACTACTAACTACGACTGAAACTCACCATCAGTACAAGTACTCGTACAGTTACTGTACTACAGTTACTGTACGAGTACTGATGGTGAGTTTCACTTTCATTGTTGTACCTACTTGTTTATTTGTTTATATGTTTATATAAGACTCTAAAACATCGGTATTTTACATCAGTTGCTTTTGATTTGACTTTATTTTGCCGCAGTTTACAATGGCTCTTCAAAACGGGCACGAGGAGAGGAAGCTGCTGGACTATGAGGAAAAAGTGGAAGAACTGGTTACCAGCAATGGCAGTAGCAATGGCAGTGAGCAAAATCAGGAACCCATGGACGATACGGATCGTGTCATGGTGCATACTCCCTATCACGGTCACTATAGCCTGCCAACAGCTGGCTTTAGGGACATGTTACTGAAACCAGAAATCCTGAGTGGAATCTTCGGTGCGGGCTTCGAGCAGCCATCCCGTAAGTTTTGATTTGTTGAGGCGCACATTCTAGGAACATTACATAAGCTCATTAAGCTGCTTACATAAAACAGTATTATAGAACTGGTTAATTGTGTATTGCAGAAGTACAGGCGGAATGTATTCCGAAAGCGATGTCAGGTGTGGATATTTTGTGTCAGGCTAAATCTGGCATGGGCAAGACAGGTACATCATGCTGAAGTACTGAGCAACATACTTGTACATACCTGGTTTCCTTGTTTGGTTGTTATAATGTTATTCGAGAAAGCAGTGATTTTCAATGATCGGGCAATTACTTACATCCATGTGTCGGTATTAATTTTGGTGATGTTTGATCGTATTGAACGTATACAATATATGCCGGTGTAGCATTGCAAGAGCGATAATAATAATAATGCTTTTTTCTGTTCCAGTCTTGTTCGTAATTTCCACTTTGGAAATGATCGACCCCCAAAATCACACCCAACCGACCGTCCTGGTGCTGGCACCGACGCGTGAATTGGCCTACCAAATCGGAGCTCAGTATCGTCGTTTCGGACGACATTTGGGTGGAATCCGCATAGGCCTATTCTGCGACGGCACTCCGTTGTTGGCTGACATACAGAATTTGCGCGCCGGCCCTGTCCACATCGTTCTGGGCACCCCGGGCCGCTTGACGGCTCTGGTCCGTGAGCGCGTGCTGAATCTGTCGCACATCAAGCACTTTATTGTGGATGAATGCGACAAGGTGCTGCGCCAGCTAGACATGCAGTCGGATGTGCACGAAATTTTCCTGGCGACACCGTTCGAAAAGCAAGTTATGATGTTCAGTGCCACATTCCCGACCGCGGTTTTGCAGGATTGCCGAACGTATTTGTCAAAGGTTTGCACAGTATTTTAAAGAACAACATAGCCATAACAATGAGCGGAAATAAGTGCCTTGCGCTTCATTTAATAAATAAAATTCATCTTTTGTCTATGCTCCAAGTAAGTATTGTAATTGAATAGTAGCGATAGAGTCCAGAGTTAACTAGAAGTTGTGCCAAACTTCTGGAATGATTGCAGGAGGCGTTTGAATCGCAGATCAAAAATCCTGCTCCTATCCTTTCAGAAGATGCTCAGAAGCAGGAATCCATGGAGGGTAAGGATCGTGCCATGTTGCATATCTCTTATTATTACGGTAGAGCCCCCTTCCCCCTCCGAGTTTTGTATTTGAAGAAAACTGATTCAGTATAGCATTGCATCGAACGTTAATTTTTCATGTTATAGTTTTGCGAAGCTACTGTATTTGTAATGCGGTGAATACGCTTATTATAGCGTTATGGCTTAGCGCAGTCAGGTAGTCTGAATATGCGTTTTACCGTTTTAACTGGGAGCATCTGTTCCGAATCGCAGTCCATTGCGTACGTAGGTACTAGTTAGCGTATATTTTTTAATCTCTTATTTCAGAAATTGTGTCATTCTTTAGACGGTTTTTTCTATTCTGAAGGCAGTGAAAAAGTCATCATTTGCATTGGCGGAGAAGACCAGCACATTGTTTTCCGCAGCGTGGAGAGACTTTGTCCGTCCGATTTGGGATGGGGCAATTTAATGTCCTTGCCCATCGGTGTCTGCAATGCAGGACTAGTTGCTCGCAGTGAATTCATATATTTATGTGGCGGGCAGCTACCTGACGGCTCCGCTTCTGGTGACACATTTCGCTTTGATACGTTCAATAACAAATGGGAGGCTAAAAAACGGATGAATTCGCCGCGGTTCGCGCTCGGTATAGCTGCATTTGGGGAATACATTTACGCCATTGGAGGCTGTGACGGTCGCTCGGTTTTGAATACTGTGGAACGCTATTGCATTCCGTCGGATAACTGGGAATTCGTGGCTGATTTGCCGGTTCCGCTGAGCGGTTGTTCGGTGGTCGATCTCGAAGGCAGTTTATACGTGTTTGGCGGCGTCTCTGATAGAGGTTTTTCGGATGAGGTTTTGCGGTATGCTCATCAGAGCGGCAGCTGGAGTTCCGCGAAGTCTGTGCATGTATCTCGTACTGGTGCGGTGGCTTGTGTCGGCCCAGACAATTTCATATATATCGCCGGTTAGTTGACAAGTTGACACATGCAACGTCTGCTAGTGAACTTTTTTTAATTTGTTTTTTTGTTTAAAGGCGGGATATCCAACGAGAAGGTTGTGTTGAATCGCTTGGATGCTTATAATCCCATTGCCAACGAATGGATACCAAAAAGTAAACTACTATTTTCAATTTTTCAGTATAATAGTAATTGCAATAATTTGACATCGATATTCGTCGAAAGTTTCGTAACAGCATTCATACGAATGCCTAAATTTTTCTCTAGGTTCAATGGCTGTTGGGCGATATTTGCCAGGGATCGCGTTTGACAGTGAAGGGTTTTTCGTTTTTGGTGGCCAGCAGCTTCTCGATAGTCCTGTCGATACAGTTGAAGCGTATAACTTTGCGAAGGATGAATGGGTCCTTCTAGAGACTGTGCTGCCCTGCGCTCGAAGCGGGCTCAGTTGTGTTTCCGTACCGATCAATAAATGTATGTACTTCCTACCGCAGTTAATTGTTTTTTTTCTGTACGCATCTATGAACTTGTGACTGCTGCTACTCCTTTTTTGCAATAACTGTTGTATTTTTAGCGTTTACACATCCTTCATTTCAAATGGATCCCGTTCGCGGCCGTATCGTTTTCAACAGAACTGCTCAGGTATGAAAGCAGATCGTGAAAATTGTTACACTCGTGATTTGAATGAAATCAAAGGTCTGTCTGTATTTTTATCATGTTACTTGAATCAGGGCACGTAGCATGAACCTGGTAGCGAAAAAGGTTGAAATTTGCTGCTAAATGTTAAATTATTTTCTTGTTATTTTCAGGATTAAGACCGAGATCTGATCTAACGCGCCTACAGGAATTTTCCGTTAAAGATCTCACCTTCTATCCAAAGTTTTCTTCACACTGATCTGCATAAATTGCCTTCCGATTTGGAGAAATGCTATTACACTAGTATACGCTAAAGGTGCTTTGTTTGTAGCAAGTGGGTTTCTGCTGTATTTCTGAGTTTACCATTAACAGTTTTGTTTTTCGAATTCGTGTTTGCACCACGATACTCGTATGGATTTAGTGTTGTAGACACACGGTAGATATTGAGAAATTCAGTAAAATGCAGCTAAACTGGTTTAGCTTTGTGCTGCATCAAATCTTTCCACACTGGCCCGTTAGGAAACTGGTACTTCGCAATGGACGACGGTAGCATCCCAACGAGGTAACCGGGTGCTGTCGGTGGAACGTAGTTCTGTTCCTTCATGGTTACCGGGGCCGCGAAATGCTCATGCAGATGTTCAACGTATTCCAGCACACGATTATCCAGACTTTTGGAAATGACAATGTAATCGATGAACGCCATGTGCTGGGCCAGCTCGCACAATCCTACACCACCGGCATGTGGGCATACGGGAACGCCAAATTTGCAGGCCATTAGCAGTACCGCCAGAATTTCGTTGATACTACAAATAAAAGTTGTCGCTATTATTTGACGGCTCGACAAATTGAAGTATGTTCAGAAATCAAAACTAATGTTAGCGAGACTTATCCAAGAACTTTCGGTTTGAACCATTATTGTTACCCAGAGTAGTGCTCACTGAGTCACTGTAGATAATTTGTAGATGTGAAATAATTTACAGCTACTGTAGTACTACCTAGTCACGATAAATCGGTAATCGAAAAATTTACGGATAATCTGTCCGCTATTTTATTAGTGCAGTTGTAAATAACAGTCAAACTTTCCTTGAATAAAGTGGTATCTGACCACTGATATCAAGAAATTTGTTTATTTCGTTGTTTCAGCCTTCTAAAGTGAAGAAAAATTGAAGTTTGGGTTACTGCTGTAATTCATCTTTACGTACCTTCCCAGCCGACACGTGTCAATTTGACAATATGAAATGGCGCTCGCTTGGAGAAGCTGAAAATTGAAATTATTGTAACAGCTTCGATTTCTTCAGGTAAAAAATATTGTTTCCCTTGTCAAGGTTTAAAGATGACCCTATTTAAAGGTAACCTGTTTAAAGATGACCCGATTTGCACATTGTTCCCCCGTTGCCACGCCGATGCCCAGCGGTGCCAGGGCCTTGGCAACCGCAGCGTGACCGAGGACGTCGTCCGGGCTAGTTGGCTCTTCGATCCACAAGGGTTTAAAGCGGGCCAGCTGCTGCATCCAGGAAATGGCTTCCGGAACATCCCATTTCTGGTTGGCATCGACCATCAGTAGCTTATCGTAGCCAATTTCTTCGCGTACGATTGTCAGTCGCCGAATGTCATCGTCTAGTGATCCACCGACTTTCACTTTGAACCGTGTCCATCCGGCCCGAATAAATGTGCGGAGTTTCTTTCGTAACAAGTCAGATTCGTAACCAAGCCATCCACAACTAGTGGAATACCTGTCAAGTAGAATGAAACTAACGATTAAGCAAAGAATGAAAAAATACATAGAACAACAATACTCGTATAAAGCTTACAATTAATTTTGTTAAACAAAATAATCGGCACCGGAGAATACGAAGTCATAACACTAAATTAATTAAAAAAAGCAGCAAAAAACTTACAAACACCCGTACAAACTACTGCTCTTTCTATACTTCAAGTATGTTTTCACTTTTCGGTCCTTTAAATAATTTTTTACAACAGGCTTTTTAAACTTAAGCGTGTACTGTGTACAATACGAATACTCCGCGTAGGTAGATGCTTACGCCGGATATCCATTTTTCTCCATTTCTCGTACGCGATCTTGTTTCCCAGTCTGCCCTTCTCTCAAAATGGTCAGCGCCTCATTTTCAGTAAGAGCGTCGCGGATGTAGCGGAAGTCAATGGCTGAAATGATTTGTTCGGGCTGCAAATCCACAATTAATTTCCACAACGGTTTGCCTTCCAGTTTAGCCCATAAATCCCACAGTGCATTGAGAACCGCCGCTGTAGCCAAATGCAATGCGCCCTTTTCCGGCCCGATCCAGCGGATTTGGCTCTCACTGCTGATAGTGCGGTAAAATGCAGCGAAATTAGCGAATATCCCATGGACATTCCGGTCCACCACAAGATGTTCGAGCGCGTTGACAGCGGCGATTACCACTGTAAAAACCATCTTCTGTCATTAGAAAGCGGTTAATTAATACAGCAGTTCCATTAGGAATTTAGGAGCAGAAGTACTGCAACTACAGTAAATCACTACAGAGTAGTACTACGTAATTTTTTAGCTTGTCAGTGCTATAAAATTGATGTTAATTAGCATTACAACTTAAAATACGGAATTATAGCGTAATTAGTTCTGACTCGTACCATTAGTGCCTTTGCCTAGAGTAAAAGTTAATCCATGCCCTTCGTGTCCGTCGGGATGATCCGTCTGCAGGACAACGTATGCACAAGAATAGTCTGGATCAGTGTGCATAGCATCTACAAGCGGTACAATTATACATACTGAACTACAATAATGCATTATAGTTATTGGTGCGAATCGCTTCGTTAATCAAGATTCAGCGGCGCCTTTCAAGGAAATAAGTGACATGTACATCAGTTTCAGTTGTTCTTAGCTTATAATATTAAAAGTAAGAACAACGGCAGTTTATGGGTGATTCTTACCGGACCCGTCAGCAAACAAGGACGTGGGATACCGCACATCAGTGACAGACAGACTGGTTACTTTTGTATTTCGATAATAAGGATGGTCCGTAGGTTCCAGTGGTAACGCAGCCATTCTTCCGCTGTGTGTAGCACACGAAAGTCTGGGCAATGGATCAGCTGTACACTTTTCGCAAATTATCAAAGGGAGTCTGCGTTATCCGGAATACCCAAAACGTATTTCGCTAATATATGACCGGTGAATAAGCGTTTGCTAACTTTAGAATTCGATGCCAAAGCATTTATGTGCAAGTCTAGAAGTAGAAGTACATCAAAACAGAACCGCAATGTTATACTTGTAGCCGGGCTGCTATGTTGTTTCTACCTGCAATACAACGTCTCTCTCACACTGTTTTATCGACGAAGGATATCGAGGTGTGATGGACGATAAGAAATTTTTCGTAAGGGTGATACCGCACGGTATATCAGCACCGTAAATGTTTTTATTTCCGGTCAAGGTGATCGTGAAGTGTATAAAAGTGCGAGCAAGATAGCACATCACTGTATAAACACGGTATTGCTCACAAAATATAAATTAATATGGTAAGTTACCGTGACTTGTACAAATCAGTAATCAAAGCGCATGGGATGAAAAGGTCATGTTTTAGAGCTTAGAGTTTATAGTCAAAATTTTTCTGAATACTTAAAATACATACCGGTTAAAATACATTATATCTATTAACATCTCTACTTTGTGCAGTGCTCACACGTTATCAACCACTCGGTATCTTACCAATGCATATATACATATTATGAATTTGTTCTTTACTGCATGCTATTCCCTCGTAAGAAATCAAACTGCAGAATACATTTCCCGCTAAATGCCTAAAGCAGCCTTTTAACAGATGATTTTAACTTAAAGCAAATGATTTTAACCGTTCTTATGTCCTGAACGTCTTTCTTCCTATGAGCTGTTTAATTTTTTTTTACAAGTTACTACAATGTACACAATATTTCTTTGTACATGTGCAGTACAATCGTTGCAACAGAATACTTCTTTGTCTCTGAAACAAGTACTTCACTGATCTACTACAATAAAACTTTTTATCCCACTCTTCCAGGTCTATCGACGAGCCCATGATCACTTTCAAACTATTTACATAATATCAAAACATGCGATTTCAACACCTCTTACCAAAATCATACTTCGAGAACCTTTAAAACTTTTATCCTTTAAAACTTGAGGTATCAATCACCTTTCTCTCATCGAAATATTAAACTATAGCTTATTTTATTTTCTGCTGCAGTGCATGTTATTAGTACTGAAGTGAGCCGATTGTTAAAACCGATTTAATATTACAAATGGCTTGAAAAAGATTCAAAGGTAAAGGAAAGCAACAAAAGCCAACAGAGTCTCATCAATATTATAATTAGCTACAGTAATAAAGCACAAAAATTCATAAGGCACAAAAAAGGAAGCCGAGAAAAGAGTAAATTATGAGCCAGAAAAACGTTTTGTCATGAAATGGACAACATGGAATTCATGTTATTTGGTGAACAGTGGTAGAAGTGTAGATTGAGTCAGTTGTGTCATGATTGTAGCTCCCACGCATAATATCCGGAAACGACGATCGCTGAGGAAACTAACCTTGTTGTCCGGCACATGATTTGCAGCACATCTTCTTGTAATAATCATAGCGACAGAAGGCCATCTCCACTACAGTCCGGCAGCGGTCGATACTGTCCACGCAGTCCCGTGAGGGTGTGGTTTGACGGGCCCTTCCGCCGTTGCGATTGGTCCGAGTGCGGCCGGATTGTCCCACATCAATGTCCACCCTCCTGGACGAGCTGGCCGTTCGATTCCGTACCCCATTTGCGGCGCGCCGAGCTTGACTGCTTCTGGCGGCAGACGCGGGATAATAGGGAGTGTCGCCGCGTCCCGGCTGAGGTCCCGCCTCCACTGGGCGTGGCGTGGTGGGTGGTGGAGGGGGCGGCGGCGGAGGTGTGCGACGCACACCGGAATCACCCTTGCGCGAATGTATGGCCGGCGGTGGACGGCGCGGTGCCGGGTCGGCGTAGCGTGGACCTTTGTTGCTAAGATCCACGGGTGGATCATTGAGGACACCGGCTTTATTATTCAGATCGATCGGTGGACGGTAATCTTGCTGCGGTTGTGCATCATACAAAGTTCCCGCTTTATTGTTCAGATCGACCGGAGGACGGTAATCCTGCTGTGGTTGAGCATCGTAAAGTGTGCCGGCTTTGTTATTTAGGTCAACCGGCGGACGGTAATCTTGCTGCGGTTGGCCATCATAGAGGGTTCCCGCTTTGTTGTTCAGATCAACGGGTGGTCGGTAATCTTGTTGTGGCTGAGCGTCGTAGAGCGTTCCAGCTTTGTTGTTCAAATCCACTGGCGGACGATAGTCTTGTTGGGGTTGGGCGTCGTACAGTGTACCCGCCTTGTTGTTAAGGTCAACCGGACGGCGATAGTCTTGCTGTGGCTGCGCATCATAAAGCGTCCCGGCTTTATTATTCAAATCGACGGGTGGTCGATAGTCTTGTTGTGGTTGAGCATCGTACAGGGTTCCTGCTTTATTGTTGAGGTCCACTGGCGGCCGGTAATCCTGTTGGGGTTGCGCGTCGTACAGAGTTCCTGCCTTATTGTTCAGATCCACAGGTGGCCGATAGTCTTGCTGCGGTTGAGCATCGTACAGCGTTCCGGCCTTGTTGTTTAAATCTACCGGTGGGCGATAGTCCTGTTGGGGCTGCGCATCGTACAGTGTGCCCGCCTTGTTATTCAAGTCAACTGGGCGACGGTAGTCTTGCTGTGGTTGCGCGTCATACAATGTTCCCGCTTTGTTGTTGAGGTCGATCGGTGGACGGTAGTCCTGCTGGGGCTGAGCATCGTATAATGTTCCGGCTTTGTTGTTAAGATCGATAGGAGGACGATAGTCCTGTTGCGGTTGGGCATCATACAGTGTGCCCGCCTTGTTATTGAGGTCAATCGGCGGCCGATAATCTTGTTGCGGCTGCGCGTCATACAGCGTGCCGGCTTTGTTGTTAAGGTCAACAGGAGGACGGTAGTCCTGCTGCGGTTGCGCATCGTACTGAGTACCGGCCTTGTTGTTAAGATCCACCGGTCGGCGACGCGCATCATCCTGTCGATCGTTGAGGGTGCCTGCTTTATTGTTAAGGTCAACTGGTCGCCGATACGGATCATACTGTGGTGGCTCATAACCGGTACCAGCTTTATTGTTAAGGTCAACTGAGGGATAAGCCACCCACGAGGGATTCACGCTGCCTTGAGCACCTAGATTCCGGTCGTCATATGACGGGCAGACATCTGTACCACATGATTCCAGCGTGCTGGGCTTGACGTCTTCCAAACAATCATTCGAGAGCTCCTTATGTTGGTTCAAGCAAACCACTTGGCGTGATCGAACGCCGACGCCGCAGGAATGACTGCACGGATTCCACGGGGAAGTGTACCTATAACCAAGTCGAAAATCCGAAATTCTGTTAGTTTTCTACGAGCGATTCTCTTTTGACTACCATGTTCCTTCACGACAAGGTGAACTTTGACACTGTCGCTGCGTTTCCGGTTTGGGATGATACTTGCATTCCGATTCCGGGAGAACTTCGCACTGTCCTCGTCGATCGTAGCTTGTTTGCGACAGGCAGATGACCGGGCGAGTTTGTGAGCCGACACCACACGGAGCGGAGCACTACCAACAAAGCATTAATTTCTGTCTAGCGTAGCATAGTTTTAAGCTGTGTAACGTTGCAAAAAATTATTTACATCACTCCACGGTCCTTCGAACCACCTTCCGCCACATTCTTTCTGGCTAGTACAGGTTTGATGCGTTTCCGGACGTTGAGTTGCATCGCACATGTGAGCATCCTGAGGGCGGTTATCTTTGAAACACACCAGATGCCGGTTGGTTTGGCCGTTGCCACACCCATTTGAGCACTAAAAATTCAGCAAATTTCACGTGAAATACTTTACACTATACAAAAACTGTCACATAATGCCAGCAGTACTAATTTTATTCTCATTATAAATTCCTTATTTTTTTTACAGTATCTTGAGTTTGTTTAGAGTGCTATCAACACGGCACTCACGTGATTCCATTCCGATACGAGCCACGTTCCAGCGCAGACACCACCGTCGCAAGCTTGGGTTTCGGCCGGTTTCGGCTCCCGACATTTCTGATCGCCCACTTCGCTGCCGTACACTTGATCAAAGCACTTTACCTGTCGTCGCTGAGTGCCCCGTCCGCACGTTGCATCACACTAAACGGGAAGAAGAAAGATTAATTATGCCCAAAATACATGACCCTTGTTGGTGCAACACCTGTTGCACGGTGCAACGCGCTCGTCTTACCGTGCTCCACTCCCCACTTCGCCAGTAATAACTGGCACGCGGCTGACAAGGTGCCATTTGACAGCTACGCTGCATGCTGTGCGTCGGTTGAGTGCCACAAGTCTCGTCGCCCACATCGGCAAAGGTGCCGTCACTCTGCTGTTCACGGCAGCGGGCTTCCCGCGTCTGTGTACCGGTGCCACAGGTCACACTGCACGCACTCCAGTCACCGTACTGCCACCTAAATTGAATTTGGTCCATTTAAACCAAAATCCGTCAAAAACAAAATTATAGCCACGCAAAAAGTTTATGCGGTTATAAATTTTAATCGCTAAATATAAACACGCTTTTACAAATATTTTTAGTGTTAACACAATATTATTGTCGGGTCGATTTATATAACGGAAATATTTCCAGCACTAAAAATGAGTAATATTAGTACAATTACTGTATTATGTTAACATGTGCACCCCAAAGCTAGAAATTAAAATACTAAACTTAACTCAGATAAACGTTATGCCGGTGTTAGTAAAATTTCAAACTTATTTCCTTGAATGTTTATTTCGGAAACCGAAAACAATTTTCAAATGAAAACAATTTTACTACTGCTTAATTAAAACTTACAGCTGTGTTACGTTTACTATAAGTACGTTTACAGTACATAGTACAGAGTACGTTGAACGATTTAGCTACAGTGCAAAACTATTTTCTTGGCAGTTTGCTTATACTGTAATTTAAAAATTTAAACACAAAAGTTTTACGTAAGTAACCGATAGCAAAATTAATTTGTGCTGCTACTGTTATCACGTACTCAGCCCGGCAAGGTCGCTCGTTACATGCCTCCTGAAACACAGCCGGCTTCACCACACTGGCGCAATAGATGTCATCCACTATCTGCCGGCTGCTTTCCATCATACACACTAAGCGCGAATGCTTGACCCCGCGTCCACAAGTTCGGCTGCACGCGGTGTATCCGGCCACGGTCCATCGGTAGCGCTCCGGCTGACGGGGTTCAGGTGTGACGGGAATTTCATTGCTGATCTCGGGAACGGAGGTGTGGTCGGCCTCCACCTGGATGGGTTGATCAACAAAATCCTCGGCAATAGACGGAATGTCTCCGCGGTGCACCTGGTTGGATGCGTAATCCGGGTAATAATTGTCGGCGCGGTGGCGACGGCTTGGCGATCCCGCATCGCTGTGACGGTGGTTGCGCTGGGTGGAGATGGTGTATTCCAGAATTATTCCTTCATTTGGAACTTTCGTGATAAGCTGTAAAATTATGTGGAAATTCAGTTTAATACTATCCAAAGTCAGCATAGTATTCAAAATGCGCAGTATAATGGCACAATAAACTGAAAAGTAAGCCTTACAATAATTTCGATGTCTTCGGTGAGCGGACCCCGGGCGGTAATCCGTTCGCCATGCGGTCGCAGTGAGTTGCCGTTAATGATGTGCTGGTAGCGGAAAACTGTTCCCGCTGCCGGATAATCGCCAGTGGGACTCGCTGTCCATTGGCCGTTTAGAAAAAACTGGCGTGGCGTACGGAGTGCTACAAATTAGAAAAACCCGGCATTATTAACGTAATGTGTTGTCATACTGTATAGAAGTACTGCTGTTACAGTAGCCCTGTATACAGTAACAGGCAGTGGTTATAAAAAGTGCGATCAATCCAGTACATAAATTTATACAATAATTATCCACCATACATTAATGTTTTTAAATGTTTAAATTTTAGCGGTCGTTAGTCTTCAACTTATAATTATTTGGTGGCTATTGCCTATTAAAGAAAAATATCTACTTCATCTTTAAGAGTATAAATCGTCTGTGGGAAAATATTGTATCTGTGTGTAGTTCAATTCAGTATCGTAACAATTTATCGTTAATGTGCAATGGAATTCGTACCGAATACGTTCCCGGTTGGCTTTCTTTCTGTCAAAGTAATGTTGCAAGCGCCGACAGGAATGGTTCCCACCTTGTTGTATCCCGCTGGTAAATTCCGTTCGTCAAACTCAATTTTTATTCTTTGACATGTGGAGCTGTCTCCATCACAGATACCGCACTGGTCATATCGTCGTTCCGCTCCCACAATACCATCACAGCCAATAGCCTGTCATATCGGAGAAAAAATTGCAAAACTGTATCCAGTTATAATACTAATGGCAAATTTTGATTTAGATTTTGCATACGACTAGCCAAATTTAAGTTTGTTTTCATCGCATAATGCGTTCTCTTAAAAATGGTTTTTAAAGAAATTAGAAGATTAGTAGATTGGTAGATTTTTAAGAATGCGTCGTGAGAGATTGATTCTAATAAATTATGGGTTGTAGCCATGGCAAAAATCAAACTGCGCGTGCAGAAACGTGTGACAGCACTTGACTCGTAATAATGCCAATACGCACTAGTGCTTATCAACTGCCGGACACAATGGCTTGGCAAACATATTACTCACTACAAAAATGAAGAATTAATAGCTATAAAAACAATCATCAGGTGGACTATGATGTTTTGCCGAAACGTTCGGACTTTTATGTCTGTATTAGCTGTCAAATTAAACAGCATTCCCGCTGGTGCTAATCCTAAACATACGAAGTAACCACCTCATCTGTAAACTGTAATGCATAGGTATCAGTAGTCTTTAACGATCCGGAGATGGTTATCACTTGTGAGTAACAGTTCCTTCATGCGTTAATTTCTTCCCAATTAAACGCATACTCGACAACCATCGACTACCACTCCTTCCGTACAAAAATTTTCCGTCAAATTAAGGTGAAATTAAATAAACAGTAAGCGATAATGGAAGGACTATTCTGTGGCTAATAACAAGAAATCATTCTCAGTATATTCAGCTGCCTTCTAGCAAAATTTTGTAAACCAAACTAATTGTATCTGTAAATTAGCAGCTGCGAAATTTCTGGTCTACGTACATATCACATGTCATGCGATACAACAAGGCCACTTTCCAAATTACAAAAGTAACACTGAGATGCATGCAGATACAACTGCAAATTTAACGTACCAATATGTAGGTTGGAGAATAATAAGAAAATAATATTATACACTATTTGGACAAAATACAGATCGATTACCTAAACGCAATTCGTATAACTATTTTACACCTGTTAATTATTAAGTTAATTAGCAAACGATACATAATCGAACGTATACACCGTTACACAGTAATCGTAAAGTTATTGCAAATCTACAAGTAAGTTACTGCAAATCCACAAGCATTTGTAGAAAGTATACGAATAACGTACCAATATAACAATGGCGGATAACAATAGTGATACTTCCATAATAGTAGTATAAATATCACAATGGCTTTCGAGGCTGTAGCAGCCACAGATGAACAAGCCGGCTCAGAAGCCGCTACAAAAGAGGAAGACCGCTGGTGTCTGTTATCTACAAGAACGTGACAAATACGTTGAAACAAATCCAACCGGCAACAGCTAACCGAATAATGTATCCAGCGTTTAGAAAAAAACAAGTGATTCTGCTGCTCAGTTTTGTGCAATCTATCCAGCCACCGGCAGCGACCAGTCAGCTGTTTGCACAGTTGGCGACTGCAGCGAATGGTCAGAGCAGATCAATGTGTCTTCCAAACACGCATTAAACATTCGTACCTTTCCTAACGTGGAGATTTATGCAGAACAAACGACGATACTAAACGTTAGGTACACAAAAAATCATTTTGTAACGGTGGTGCAGGTATTAAAAATAACATTGTGTAAGCGAACTATCTAACTCAACACTTTGGATCGAGAGAGTCAGAGAGAGAAAGAACAGTTTCCCATACAGTTGTGTTGTACTGCTACACAGTCACACCGGTGCTGTAGCCAAACCCCGGCGATGAGAAACCGATCAGTCTCTCTTAAGATCGTAAGAAATACCTAAAAAATTGTCACTGCTCATCTCATATCGACAAAACTTGACGTTTTCATCATCAGCGTTTGAGTTAATTCAAACATAACACAACCCTTCCACAAATAAATCCGATTATCAAATATACAAATATTATGATTAAATAGATAGACGGCCAACCAGCCAATCTACTGTATCCGCTGTTAAACGATATTGGCCAGATTTAGCTTCGGACGCCAAATGTATATACGTGTGCGCGCGCACATCACCCAGTTGTTGCACACTTGGATTTACATTGGATCACATGCGCGCAAAACCGAAAGGCGCGGTGGTATGTGAACGCCAAACGGAAATTATGGAGATATGCCTGCTGGAGTGGACATCATCTGGAACGAACGAGATGCAGGCCAAAATTCCGGATCAACACTGGCTTCTTAGTTTGTATTTAAATAATGCAACCTTTCTTTTGGCAGTCGCCTTTCAAGTGCTAATGCAATTGCGAACCAGAGCAGAAACGTCCGGTCAATGTGAACGTACATTGTTTACTTCACCGAAAATTTCGACTATGACTTTAATTGCTTATTTATCATTTCGATTATTACACAAGAACTTTAACGATGTTCCGGATAGCAATTATTACTCTAACGTAGCCTTTTTGTGCGTGGTCAAAATTTTGACTCAAAATTAAGTTCAGCTAATTTGACTGTCACTGAACGGCAGTTCAGCGACACTTAATTAATTACGATCAGCTTCGGCAGAAAGGTCAGTCAAATTCCCAGTATTTATTTCGAGAGGACGATTTATAACTTTATCGTTCAGAGACTGTCTGGTTTTCCTTACGTCCAGTTGTCTAAGTTCCTTTTTCTTGAACCGAATGGTGCTAATATAGTGAAAAATTTTTCGTTTTGCGTAAATTTAGTTAAAGTCAATTAGATAACGATCAGAGTAGCCTCGCTTTTAACCTTTACTACAACTGTACATCCTAAAGTGCAGCCCTAACAGCACGCACAGTGATTCGACGGTTCTTCGCTATTTAAAAATCTAGTTCTTCGTATTTCTTATATGCTACTTCTAGGATTTACCCTTAGAATACATTTTAGTAAAACAAGAAGCCACAAGCAGCGCGGATTTTTACTGGATATCGATCGCAAGCAGCCGGTTTGAATCGTACTAGTATTATATTCGAGAGATACCGTATTATATCTGTACACTGCAATATGTTAATAGTAAATTATTATCATTAATAATTATCTTATATATAGTAGAACAACGAACTGTTTATGAGACCTTTTCAAAAGTACTTTCAATCTGGAAAACAGCTTAATCCTATCATTTCAACGACCACGCGCGTAGCAATACTGTAATAGCGAAGTTAGTCTGGGGTAACCAGTCCTATCCAAATATTATGGCAAGCTTATTATCTTCATATTCGTTCTTAATCTGTTGGACATAGAGCTCATTGGCAGAGGTCAATGTAAATCTTAAAATCGAATTATTTTTCCTCTAATGCGGTAAGTGAACAATTTCTGCATTAATGTGGCGAAGTATATATGGGTGCTGAGCGTGCGTGGGATCATCTCCAAGATCAACACAGATCGCAGATTCACAGTTAAAGGATTATAATCTCCTACAGAGCGATAACTTGTCCAGATGTGCAACGAGCCAGTAACAGTTGACATAACATTATTTAAAGCTTCACCACATAATTAAAGAATACGTACAGTATTTACCTGACAGGTTCCATTTAAACAAAGTCCTTGCAAGGTATGATAGTCTTCCCGTGTGTCTTCCGTGTCAGCGTTGACGTACGGTTCGCAAGGGGTCCCGTCCGGAAGAGTTTCGGCAAACGAGATGTAAAATGTCTCGTTGATCGGTCGGCATAGCAAAGCACACGGTAGATGCGCTAAACCATGGCAAAACCGACATGGAGAAACTGTTTCGTTAATGACCGGAAGTGAAAGCAGGTGATCGATATCGATCTACTCTGCTCTAGTTATTACGAACATTAAGGCTTTTTATTAAGTGTATGCTAATTAAAGATTTCCATTCCGAAATCAGGATTTACTTAAAGTGCTTTGTTTAATGTACATGTACACACCCTTTTCGAGAAAGTGAACCCTTTAAGCAAATTAACAAAAACTAGCCAGTCTGATACTATGATGTGCCAAAATACTCATTAATTTTAGAATAAAACTACAGTATATTAATTTGCACTACATTGAACGGTTCGTAATGCTGTGCACCATATGCGTAGCATTACAAGTACAGACGCAATTACGTAGGACAATCGTGAACTCATATTTCTATGCAAAAAGACTGACTTGATTATCGTTTTGCAAATGACCTAAACTGCAATGGAGTTAACTGGTCACTCTAAAAATTAGGACCCTTTTTTTCGAAAGTTTCAGATGTGCAAAGTAGTAATCATAGCAAGAAATAGAAACCAGCGAGTTCATATGCTAAACGCTAAATTTCTTATTTTCTTAGCTTCTTAATTTAATTTGATTTCTTAGTTTGATCTTATCTTAATTTCTTAATTATGACGTACAAAGATGGAATGGCACCCAGGAATATTTGCGGTTTCCACTGAACTCCGTATTGTTTTGTTTGGCACATAGTGCATATCTGACGTCAGCCGGATCCAGTGGCTCCCTGCGGCGAGTGTGGGGATGATTAAAGAGAGTCAAATTATTGGTTTGGTCATTGGGCTGGTGTTGATCGGGTGGTGTTAAGTGATAAGGTTGACAGGGAGCCTGATGACATTGACGGTAGCGCTTCTGTGACGACTGGCCGGCGGATGACTGCGCAACAGATGTGGTAATATTCTGGCTAATGTCGCGGTCAAGGCAGGGATCAACGGTCGATGCGGCGGCAACAACATGCGATCCCTCCAGTACTTGCACACAAAATCTTTCAGCAAACTGCAATCCTGGACCGCAGTCAGCCGAACAGGCTGACCACTCGGTGAAGGTTGTCCATGTATAGTACCAGTCGGTGGAGGGAATGTTGCGGCTGTCGGTGTTCGGCAGTGGATAAATGTACTGGCCGAATTCCGAGGGGATGGCATTGATTACATCGGGGCTCAGCGTGACTGTAATCTAAAGACAATTATTTTGCTGATTTTTCGTCAAAACAGATATCCATATTGTCACATTATTATTAACATACACACCGAACATGTGCATCGTAAACATGTGATGCCATTTGTAAACCAATAGAACTATTACGGTACAAATGCTTTTGCGCCAGGCGCAATACGGTGCAATACAAATGCATCATCTGCATCAGCAGCACAGTAATCAGTATTTATAAAAATTTAATATGATAAAAAGCTGATAAGGCATTTGCTAATAAATACCATAATTAAGATCTGCATAGATACATCATACATTTATGCAGATGCACACATATTGTAGTAAAATCTTTAAGGCAATTTTAAGTTTCGGTGAGAAGTTCCAGATTTCGATACCAATGATAATTATCCTAACACCCACACACGGACTTGTAAGAGTAAAATTCTGCGTTAAAAATGACGGCTTTATGATTTATATTTTATAATCTAGGTTCGTGAAATCGCAGATCCGTATAGTATAATATTCAAACGTAAAGAAGGAATGGCGTGATGCAAGACATTTCGGTGCACTACTGTATCCAGTTTTTACAATTGCGCGCGTTGCTAGTGTGCTGGAGTAGTACAAGTATTATGGGCTAGTTCGTGCTACTGCTGGTTTTTGTAGCCCGGCATATAACTGCGGCGCATTTACATATTAAGCGGCGGCGCATTTGCAATATTATATTTATTGTAAGTTTGTAAGCGGACTTATTGTATTTTACAGCAAACCTGTCTTGAATCAACATACGATCCATCTTCCTTTTCCAATGTCAAATTCACCACGAATGCCGGTATATCCATGTTGATGTTATTATTATCAACGTGATGACGATCAAAGGAAAACTGCGGAGTGTTCCATTGTCCAGCCGTCAGACTTGTCCACAACAGGATTATGTAAAATGCGAACCACATGTTATCCAGTAGTATTTAACCATCAGATCTAAGAAGCAACACAGAGTGCACAGTATGTAAAAGAAAACGCAATTGCAAACCCTGTCGAAAAAATCAAGGACACTATGGCACAATCTAGAAGAAAGTGGTTAGTTGCTTAAATAATTATACGAAGCAATTCTATCTGTTTTCGTTACCGCGTCCTGGCTGCGCTAACAAAGTATGGCTTCAGCCAAATGTCACCTTCGAACATGTTGTGCGAATATGCTGCCATTCAAACTAAAGATGGGCGCAATGACTGTAGAAAACAGCTCAAAACGTAAAATTATCCAAAAACATACGCAACTACTGAAAATCCAATGCTAGAAACATAGCGCATAGAAAACTCATCCATCATCGGTAAACTGTAGAACTGAAGCATTCTGCCTTTTGTCATCCTTTTCACATGGATATGAAGCCCCACACTGAATACTAATCGCTCAATAACCTGACAAAACTCTCTTCTATGGCGGGGATAATGCTGGCATTTATTCTGGACATTAAGTGTCTCACCGGCACACTTCTCCTGCATAAACTGTAAATATATCTTTAGCATCTTTTGTAACTTCTTTTAACAAAACCCGCAAGATTGCTTCATAAACTATGACAGACATAAAAGCGGTTTGTCCTTAACCACCTAGCGATGGCAATCGACGCCGCAAAACTGTTATTCTCAAGTCTTCCGGCTGCATAACCGTGCATAAAATTGTACATAATAACACCGACTGTCCATACGCTCTTTACATATTTTTCTCCAATCTTAATACGCGCTCTCGTAACACTCGGTCATGCTTTAAATTTGTAAAGACTACTCGTATGATCCATTCATGATTGGATACTTACAATAACACTGTATTCTGCGGTTCTCACCATATTATCACAGCATCCATAGATTCAAAAGCAAAAGTGGTTAAAAAGCATAATAATGTTTGCCGGTCAGTAACAGATTAATAACAGGAGTTACGAATCCGTGCGAAACATTCTTTACGAACCAGTAAGTGGTCGTATAATGGAAGCTCAACCTTCGCAACATTACTGCCTCTACAGAAATTAATTCTGATTGTATGTCGTCGTGAACATGGTTCTGGAAATGGTCAAAATTGTATTTCATTGGAACATTTGCAGCATGCTCTAAACGTAGGGTAGTTTAGTCGCTAAATTCGGCAGTATCACATAATGATGGCGCAATATGCGAATCTGCCATAGATAGTTGTTTGTCATCATGTTGTCATTAAAGCCATTACGCTACACTCGAATTTACAAATGCCAAGCGCATTGGTCCTAATATCTCAACTAATTTTTCCTGCATAGAGTGAGTGCCAATCCTCTTTGTACAAGTACTGTACTTCAATATCCATGAAATCGGGCACGCAGAAACTGCACTGACCATGCCCAGATTCAGATTCAATGGGGCTTTATTAATTAAATAATATAAGGCTTCGTTACCATTATTTTTTATAATTATTAAGTATGCGAGCCTGTCAGGCATGTATGTGCTACTTGACGCAGGTGATGCGGTTTTCTTTGTACGCATATCGAGTGACGAGTGGTACATAACTGTACGTATGTGACCTTTGCAGCACCATGCTGGCAGCTAGAGACTGTGAGCCTTTCAGTGTGTCGTGAATGTTGTTTTTTAACATTATGTTTTAGCTCTTTTGTGAATGTACATAGATGATGTACGTTTAATGGAAGGTGTAAAAAGGAAGCGGAGAAACGCGGTCGGACGATTATCAATACTTTAAAGTATCTATAAAATAATAAAATAAAATTGCCCCCAGGAACCGCGGCTGCATGTGTTTGCGTTACATGAAATTACTCAATATATGCCCCAACATACTGTATATGCCCCACAGAAATATCCTCTAAATGCCCGCGTACAGATGGATCAAGCATAATGCTGTAGGTCTACTTACACTTTGTATTTTGTTGCATCCCATCGTGAAACATACCGGTTGCACCACAACGATTTATGCATTAAATTCAGCCGGTCATCCGCACGTCCACTAAAACAGAACCGAGATCTGGGAGTACAGAAGGAATGAATGAATTCCATTCGTTCCTTTTGTATTCTTAAGAGCACGGTCCTGGTTTAATTGAGCCTTACTGATTGTGATGGGAAGAAATTAGTGAAAAAAAAACTGGAAATTTCGTCCCCGAGTAAAACAACTTGCAAAAAAACCTTAGCTAAACGTTGGGAAACGGCTAACATTGACACACATCCGTTCACCTAGTGGCAGTTGCACGTTAAACTGACGTTTTTCCTACAAGCTGTTTTACTCGGGATCGTATCCCGATCCGAAGGCATGATTTCGCGCGATCGTGCAGCGAGCAGAAACGGATACAGATTTCGAGCACCCAGCGGATCGCTTGGCAATTGACCAGAACTGATTAATTCAATAACTTTTAAATGGCAATAACTTTATTCAGCCATCATGCGCGACAACGTTTTTGGTATCAAAAATCTTCCCAAATATTTCTTCATCTTTTGACGCATGGTTCGCAAACTTTATCCGGAACCAGATCCCGTATTACCAGTATCTGGTTCTGGATGAAATCTCCTGTTATAGCAGTATCTGGTTCATGAGAGATACCAACCAAAGCTTCAAAAGATTAAGAAACGTTTGGGAAGGTTTTTGATACCAAAAACGTTGTCGCGCATGATGGCTGAATAAAGTTATTGCCATTTTGAATTAATCAGTTCTGGTCAATCGCCAAGCGATCCGCTGGGTGCTCGAAATCTGTATCCGTTTCTGCTCGCTGCACGATCGCGCGAAATCATGCCTTCGGATCGGGTATAATTATCACAGCATTGGGAAGTCATTTGCGCTATTTTTTAAAATAATTTTTGAAGCTTCTTGAAAATAAGATGCCGCTGCAAGCCTCGAAAAAGATGGTTGCGCTCACGATATAAATAAGAAATGTGCACTGATTACGAAAATTTTGCATCGAACGTGAAGACAAGAAGATAAACCACTGGCCATAAGCGCAAGCATTCCCATGGAAATATTGTTAATCGTACCGATTCGTACGGCAGCTTCCAGTCGCAAGATTGTTCCGGCGGATCCAAGCATAACTATATGACGCCTTTGGCTAACGTAAAAGCACTGATCCTCAGCTGCGAAGTTTTTTGTCCTAAACTCGCCTTTTTTGCATCGGTTTCAATTAGCATCCTAGAATGCCTTTGAATTATGTTACACAGGTATATGCAACATTCACAGTTCAGTTTTATGTGTAAAGGCCTAAAGGGTTAAGGTAAGAGATTCCAAAAGAGAAAGAGATTTCAGAATATGCTCGATCGTATATGCGTACTGCAGAATTGAGACGAGGTGACCTTTGGATAAGAAAGCATAAAGCCTAAGACACACCATAAGAGCAACGGCAATTACGGCATAACCTCTTTTTATGAGGCAAGCAGGGTATGTTAAACGTTGATCTCATCATGAACCGAGCTGGATTTGCAATCTTCGTTTTCCATTGATTATAAACAAACGAACTCTGGATCTAACCCGATCCGCACGTATGATTCCAAACGATCGTGCAGCGAGCATAAACGGATAAGATTTCGAGCACCCAGTGGATCGCTTGCGAATACCCAGAAGTGCAGAACTGATTAATTCAAAATGTCAGTAACGGTAATATTCAGCCATCATGCGCGACAACACCTTTTTGGTATCAAAACTGCTCCCAAATTTTTCTTCATCTTTTGACGCATTGGTTGGCAGGCTTTATCCAGACCTAGATCCTGTTATAACAGAAGCTGGTTCGTGAGATCTCCTATAAATTAAAATGAAATTCAATAAAAGCGTCACAAAATACAATCATTCTGGATTATTATTGTGCAATTAGGTAACAGACGTCACTATATTAGAATATTACTTACTTCGGTACTCGTACAGTATCAGGAGGTTCGTGTCTGTTTAGAAGTACTTCGACATTTTTCGCATTTCGGACATTTCCACAATATGTTCGGAACGCGAGAAACGTCGTCGAAGTACGGTATCATTAGATTAAATAATAAATTACGTAAACAGAATTTCAAAATGCCGGCAGAGGTCCAGCAAGTGCCTCTGGAAGACCATATGCATTAGCAGATGCAAAGCCGCTATAGCAGAGTGTGTTGTGCCATGATCGAGTGCAAACTTGCAAACCAGCTACTTTGCGTTACTATGCTTTGAATTCAGATTCCACATTTGGCAAAATTCCAACTAACGCTAAAGACAGCAAATGTTATTACAGTAAGTAATAATTTTTTTACCAAGCGTACCTGTGTCTGCTTCGGATTGCTCGGAATTCAGACTAGGGTAGTATTGCTGTTGTTTTACATGTTACCGTACGGAGTAGTAATGCCGCCTGTAAATACCGCCTTCTACATCCGGCAAAAATCAATAACTTTCGTACCAAACGGCTCGCTGTACGGTAGACCAGGCTGATCCCTATCTCCGAGCCTCCGACTCTTTACGGTTAGCTGATCTGAATCGTATTGACTGCTCCCAAGTCCCAACGAAAAATTCTGTACTGGTATTTACTTGGTGGTTTCTCGTTGAGATTGCCATTTCTTTGGGGTTTTTGAACTTTTTGGATTCAGTTGCTAGTAGATCGTGAAATGGTTTGTGATGGTGGATCATTCCAGCTATGCGAGATGGAGATGATAGACTAAGGGTGTCGGTTTCTTTAGTCCTCACAGTCAGCTTTGAATCTGCCCTTGGAGACATCTTTCGTGCTGATAATTTTTTCCTTTGCTGGGTTTGCAATTCCAATCGAGAAATCTCGGTGCTGACTTTGTCCATGGTTTCAGATTCGGTAAGTAGAACGAACATTTATCCCACATGAGCCCTAGAATTGATAAAAAGAAAGATTTCGTTGATTTTAAAAATTTTCGAATGTGTTTCTTCTGCAGATTGAGTTAGTTTTTCAGATTTTTGACAGTATTTGAAAATTACTTACAAATAATAATTATTGGTTGATTATCCGTATCGGCTTTATTTTATATTTCGTTGTCACCGCGCTAGAATATGAAGTCTGGTACAGTTTACGAAGATCTGAAGTTTGGTGATTTACAGTACAACAACAACGTTTAAACATGTATCGATATCGAATTTTTGTGGTTGTTCAAATGTAAATTTGACAACCTGTGGTACACGTGCTGGAGTGTGTCGATATTCACAATCAGTAGTATGAATGCTTGGTTTTCAAATACCTGCGCTGACTGTACACCACGGTTCTTGAATTGACGGTATATGGAACTGTATAATTTGGGCGTGAAGAGCAGAAAACAGTTTGTGTAGGATCAGCAGAATTTGCGCAATCCGATCCGTAAGGATCGTGACATACGGTGTTTTATGTAATTCGCACCTTCCGGCAGCCTGTGACAGCTAATCTAGCTTTTACAACCATATAATTTATCGATTGCCAACCTTGTAAAAACGGCTGTTAAGACGTATAGAGAATGTACGTACTGGCAGTTATTCAGTGAATTTCCGTCTCGTTGAACGTTGATTACCACGTCCATTATACTGATGGAACATTTAAAAACAGTAAAATGATCTGTCTGTCTGGTCGCGCTCGTAAGTAATTAGTAGCGTATGGTAAATTATTCACTTTATGCTCATGGCGTCTGGACATTTTTGCAGTTCCTGCCAGTGTCATGCAGTCCGCTGCCGCCGGATGATCCGTTTGGAAGGAGGGGAATTGTCAATTGTTTTATCATCTCCGTTCGTCCTCTGTCGCGCCCATTTCCAGCTACACACACACATTTCTGTCTGACGTATCTGCCGCGCGGGGAGATGGGGCTTAAGTGAAAAATCGTGCTGTTGACTGTTGTGCCGCGGACGGCCATTCCCCGTCAACAATTCCATGCCTCACTACCCCGACGGAATTTCCAGAAGGTGTCCTGAACTGTGTATGCGGTGATCCCATGGTGATGTTCCGTCTAATTTATCCGGATCTCTCAAGATATCATTGCCTGCCGTATAAAAATGGGGGTAAACAGCACCCCCTTCCCCTCATTTCGCGCTCGTGGAACGATTTTCTGACAGATTGAATGTGATGTTTTTACAGGTCTCCGGAGGCTTGTAGTTCTCTGCGTTCTTGTTATTATCTTCGTTTACGGAATCCAATCGATTCTCATATCCAAGTCAAGTGGTAAGATACGGCTTAACCAATATGCTCCGCACACGGTGAAGGGGCTTTATGTTTACCGTGATTCTATTTATTTTGATTAATTCACTGAAATGTCCGTTTTCCCGTGTAGAAAATATGGGTAGGTTTCATTATATAATGCGTATTGAGTTTAATCATGTGGACATTAATCATTTTTCCGGAGTGAAAAATCGATAGAAATCATGGGGGCTGATCCGTACATATCGGGTCCCTAACGAAAGGACCACACATTGTGCTGCTTTCCTTCCGGGAAAGGCTGCTTTTTCCCCTGCTTCGGCTTTTCCTCTCTAATCCCTGTAATGGCATACCGTAGACTGTAGGGCCGTATTCGACACTTTTTTCAGTGTAATCCCTGGCAGGCAGACATTTCTTTATTTGTTTTGATCATGTTTCTGAGACAGTGTGGACTTTTGTCTGTGCTGGCTTTAGTCGATTCTTTGGTTTGTTTCCCGTTGGATAAATATGGATTGTTCAACTGGCGGGCAGTTTTTCCAGTGTGTATTTGTTAGTGCAGCCAGTGTATGCCCGCGGGTTACAGGCATGCAGTAAAAATAAGGTTCCTTAGTGTGTTTGGAATGATCCTGTTTGTTTGCTCATGCGGATCGTTTGCATTTTGACAGCCAGCCTATCAGATGTCGCGACGACAGATCCTGCGATACGATTCCGTGGATCATCCGACAGGTCAACCGGAGATAATTACCGCAGGCCGGCGGTCCCGGAGTCTCCCGAAGGTAACTCCGATTTACCTTACAACACTTTCATTGTTTTATATTTAATTTATCTCCTTTTTTAGTTGATGGTATGCTAAATACCTCTTTAATGCATTTTTTTATTTCAACTTGTTTTTGTGTGTTTCTGCGTTCTTCTGATAAATTTACAGTGAGACTTCTTTTTGTTTAAAAATGTTGTGGCAGTAAACTACCATAAAAAGTAAAAGTATACTTAGAGGGACCGTGGAACTACTATTTGGCCGCTCAACTGCTAAGTTAGAGAGGACGTCAAGCTGCTGTTTTAAGTGTTCGGGAACCCGATAGCTCGTAAGCTCAGATTTCGAAAAGTTGTTTCATAAGGTCATTTTATTCCAGCATGGGCCACGCTTCATTACTTGTTGTAGATGTTTTTGAAAAATTTTCTCGTATTGTTTTGAATTGTTAACGCAGGTATTAGATGAGGAGCAGTATTGTGATAATTTCCATAAATGTTAAAATGTTCTTTTTTCGTTATATAGACCGCTGTAAAAGTCTCAGCTCAAGTGATCCCTGTGAAGTGCCATATTTTCCCTATCGAGTTTCTGTGGGCTATGGAGATCGAGCGCCCCAGATCTGCTGGAATTTGCGCAATGTTCCACTTAGGACCGCGCGGCCGGGAACGGTGACGGTAGTGGAATTAGCCGCCGCTGACGGCAATGTGATTAACGAAAAATCCTTTTCGGTTGATAGTAAGTGCCCAGATTACTCATATGTCCATTTCATGCGGGTAATTTCGGTCAAGTCGTGGTAGTAATGGGAGAGACTCCTGCTATGAAGTCAAAAGAAATAAGCTAGGCTGTGTTAATAAAAAATCGGACTGTGGACAGATTGTGGCAGATAAAAATTCTTTATGCTTGAATATTCGACGTGTTTCAGTAGCTGTTGCGTTGAATTTAGAAAAGATTTGAATTTTTCATTTACCGGTAGATGCTGGCATTTAGTTTTAATCCGCATCGAGTTGTGACAAAGATTAAGAGAGCAGTTTTAACGAAATCAGTATGAAACTTATCACAGTTTTTTGTCTTGAATGTGCAGTCAGCTGAAACGCGTTTATGTTCAGCACTTTATAGTGTGTTATCTTCCATATCGATTAGAGTACATTTCTTTATTTGATTGATTATTGATAGAATTTCCACTCCATTTGTTCATGATGAATATATGCGAAAATTTGATTATTTCTTCATACTGAAAAAATACAGCACCCGGTATTACTCTTTTTTCTTCACTTGGCGTATCGGATTTATGTGTTTGCATTCGGCACTCAAGAGCTACCAACAGTCGGCTTCGATTACATAGTCGTTAAAATATTGTTCTGTTGGATCGATTTTCCGGTGCCCGGGTGCAACCGTGGTCGATCTGATTGTAATATGTTTTAGTGATGTTCTGAGCATCTCTGCTTCATTGCTCGTTTTGTACAGACACGGTATGCAAGCACTGCAGAGTGCAGAATCAAATAAATTATATACGTTGCAAAGACTGCTAATGGGAGCGGTTTAATTTCCTGTTGACGTGATAGGCTTTGTTCTTACGACATAAGTTTCCGGTTTAATTACTTATAATAACAGTGCTCGCGTAATATAATGGCATTTATTATATCTTGTAGGTCCAAAGATCCTCGCAAATTTCCTTGCTCAACTTAGGTCGACGCGCAATGACTCGTATATTGTGATGGCCACATGGAACGCTGTTCCGTAAGCTTCTAAAAATTCGGGCCGTTCGGCTATCTTCTGAAATATGTGTTTTTAAAGAATTACTAATAAAACTCACTTAATGGAATCAACTGAAACGATTGGTACGATTGATATTGTTTGGTACGCTGAAAAAATGTAGTTTAAAGTTCGAATGCTGGTAGTTCATATGCCGTTGCCTTAATACTTAGTTTAGAAACGTCAGTAGTATCATAAATGAGTTGAGACGTACATCGTTTGCCACATAGGAACGAGTATTTCCAATAACTTTTCTGTGGTTTATGGTTTTGATTTATGGCGTACTGTTTTAGGTTCTCACCTACTCTACTCAGTCATTTAAAATCTGTGGGCACCTTAGTGAATCCGAAATTCCAAGGACAGCAGCTGCAGTTTTATCTTTTGGGACAGAAGGGGCTTTTGCCGGGTCGCGGAATCTCCGATGTGCAGCTCTTCAACTCCAGTCCAGCCTTGGATCAGACGGGCTGTGTGCCGCCCTTAGCATCTTCTCTCGGCAACGAGGTGGATCATGATTTCGTTAACAGTAATCCGGGTTATTTACTGGCTGGGGAGTTTAAATTGGGTTCAGGTTCACCGAACTGTGGAATGGCCAGTCCCTGTGAGGGACTCAAAATACCCATGCATATCTACACCGGCAAGGACCATAATGACCCACCTAAACTGTGCATAGACGGAAATTAGTAAGTGCAATTCTCGAAGGGATTTGTTATTCTTATCATTAATAGTCCACGTAGTGTGAAAACACGCCTGGAATATGTTAGTATTAGAACAGCATTACGGGATGTAAGTTATGTAACCTAAGATAATTTCTCGGTTCCTAATATTATCTCATTGCCGTCATTGATTAGGTGGTATAGTAAAATGTCAGTTTAATTTGGCTTTTTTTTGATAAATTCTTGTTAGTCTTTGGTTACTGTAAAGCGAAGCGTTTAACTGCTGTTATTTTACATCACAGTTCGTTCTACTTTTAAATTTACATTTCTGCTTTTACATTTCTTTCTAACGTTAAGAAAGTATTTTTAATGTTTAACTTATTACAGCTCGTAATGCGCATTGAATGTGCTAGTGTGAATGCAACATAAAAGCTAGCAAAGTGAATTAAGTAATTCGCCAAAAATTCCCACTGGGATGGAAGACGTAATTTCTTTTATTGCTACAAGTGATATCATGGGTATAACTCTCATGCATGTTCGATCCATCAATGTCCTGGCATTTTGATGGAAAAGAGAAAAAAGAGAGTACATATTTATGGTTGCATGCCTAAATATTATACTATTGCAGTGTGTTTGAGAATAAAATCAATAACGGAGGCCGTGGCATGAATATCGCGGTTATTGATGGATTTACTGGGACAGTATTACGTGTGGCTAATTACGACACCTGGGGTACGGAGAGTACCATGCTGGAAGTATTTCTGGAGGATTTACAGACCAATGAAATTGCTGTGATTTTCACGCATGACGAAGCTACCACAAAGCAAGTGTCCACAGTTTAAAATTGTTATGGCTTGCATAGTGAATACGAAACTGTTTTAATTTTCGAAGTGGATGCAGCTGAATAACATGGTGTTTTCTCTTTAGTACAATTGTTGATTTGCTTCCAGGTTGTCCGAACTATCGAGAACTCTCTTTTTCGAGTTGGGTAGCAGTCGAATTTATGATCTCAAATTTCGTGCGGCATGGTTTATGATTGGCCAGAAAGGCATTCGTGGCTTCACTGGATTCGAACGGTTGAACATTGGTGAGAAGACCAACTGGGCGGATGTGATCGACGAGCGTCTCTGCATTCCCCGACGGCTGGACGGGTTTCTGGCACGACCGGATCCCCTGCCGGAAACACGCAATCTCCAGCGTCTAACCTTCTGCAGCCTGTATCGAGGCTATGGGGACTTCTGCATTAAAGAGCGCCCATTATCACCGCTCCTCCCCGCTAAATTGGCCGATGTGACGCTGGTTAACAGTCCGATTTACAACGATCTCACTGCCATCCTGGTGATTGCCGGGCGCTCTAAGAACGCCCTGCGAATGCTAATGGAGACGCTGTTGGGGCAGCCGGGTATTAATCCCCGTCAGACGCGCATTGTCGATCGCTATCATTATAACAGTACGGAAATCAGAGATCTCGTTGGGCTCTTCAAGTAAGCATACGTCCTAGAGTATCTAACACCAGTTTATTTTGTGATAGATATACAAAAATCCTTAATAATTATATCTCATATCTTGCCAAATACCTGTCTACATGGGGGTGATGATTGTTTGTAGTTTCCATCTGACGTTTTCGACATTTACTGGATCTTACGCACAATTTTTGAAAAGAGAAATTCAGGAAATGTTTGACGAATACAAACCCAGATACCTGATCGTTATCGAAGAAAACACACTGTTATCACCGGATTTCTTGCATTATTTTGCAACATTGGAGCCCATTTTTGAAGCTGATCCTACAGTCAAGGCCATCAGTGCCTGGAATGACAATGGTATCGGAAGTATTAGTATGGCTATCGGTAGTTTGTTTACGTAATACGTAGTCGATCGTCATTGCACTGTTATTTTGTTGTCTACTGAGTATAAGCTGTGTTTGCTTACAGTAATTTTAGAGTACGTGGGGCAATTTCACATTTACGCTAACGCTTTTTTTTGCAGGATATAACGAAACATCCGGAGACCTGAGCCGAATATACCGCGTTAATGGTTTTCCACACCAGGGTTTCTTGGTTACTCGAGCATTCTGGGAGTCTGTGACGCCAGTAATGGAGAAGTGCTGTGAGAAAAAGTATGCAAATATGATACTGCAACTATTTGTTATGAGCAGTATTTGCGTGTGTTTTTTAATGAAAACCGGAAGCCTGTGTCAGACTATAAGTGGCATATGTGTGCAGCAACCCGGAAATGTAAGCCACGGCAGCGATAAAATATTGCACTTACTTTTTTTTCGTAGCCCTTGGGAAGGATGGTTTGATAATATGGAAACGATTAGTATCTGGCCCGACACATCGAGAATTATGAAAATCCCGTTCACTGATCATACAAACGCACTTGCTCTCGAGCTGTTTGGCCGATCGCGGACTGTTAGCAGGTATCGTTCTACAATCTACATTTTGTCGTTAACTTGAAAATAAAACGCATCTGACTAACTCCATGTTATTATTGTAGGCAAAATGAAATCAAAGTGGAAAATACGTTTCCTGTGATAAAGGAGAAATATGATGCATTTCTCCACAGTGCCATTGCTGAATCACGCCATTTCGATATGAACCAGAAGGATCTGTGCGATAAAGCCCGCGAAATAAGTTTAAATGCGCCCAAAGAGTAAGTGGAAGTGGTTTTGTGAGGATTATTTTGGGTTAGGTGGGTTAGGTGTTTCGTGGGTTAGCACTTCGTGTTCGTTGTCTGAAAAACTTGTTATTTGCGTTCTGACGGTTTCACTTACTTAGTGTTCGTTTCTTTTATTAGGAAAGCGGTAGCTATTTTTCTGCCAGGAAATGCGACTGAAAAAGTCTGGTCGGAAACCTGCAAATGTTTTGGGTTATTTGCTGTTGAAGGTCATTCCGCAAGAGGTCGCTATAATCATACGCTGAGGTATGTCGTATGTACGAAATTGTCCCGAATATCGAGGTCCCGATGTCTTACTAGAATGGTTTTCGTATAAATAATTGTAGTTTGCTATTTATTATCATCGTACTCTCACCGGTTCCCTGCTGTCTGTATTCAGAAACAGTCGGTACAGCGTACAGTTATTAATTTTCTGACAGCCAGTTTTACAGTTACTCTTAATTTTACGGCTTTTTTATTTATCAGACTGCTGTAACGTGATTTTGGTTCTTGTTATTGTGTTAGAATTCGGTAAATTTTAGCATTTGACCCTTAATTAATTTAAGCGCGGAATGAGAGCATCTGCTTGTGTTTTGCAGTTTCACGTTTGGTGATGCGCGCCGTCTGGTGATCATTGTCGATGGACTGTATCCATTCCGTTCCACAGCATCTTCGCAGCCCTAGGATAACGACGGGGAGCAGTCATCCGGTGGGGCACGAGCGAAATTGTAGTAATCTCAACCATTCCATTGCTCTCTTTCTCTCTGCGACACTACGGTCATCGAGTTTTTACCATGTATAATTTGTTTTAGCTCTTTTATAGAATCTTTGACTAGAGTGTTTTAACTGCACATTTTGGTTTGGCGGTTTGATGATGTGATGACTTACGGTGCGACTTTTGAGATGTTCCAGATTTGATGCGGCACGGATCTCAATGCGGATCTGGACAGAGAGTTAGTTTGTTGAGCCGTCCAGAGTTTTACTATTTTATCTTTTGTTACCTTTGCTATGTGTTTCCGGTTTATTTATGAATCTGGTCAAAACAATGTGAGTGAGCCTTCATAAATGTTTTGCCATTTACATTAAAGTCGCCAGTTGAATGAACGATTCCATTCCGAAAAACGGTATACTCACGGCTTGGCGCCGAATGAATGTCTTCCCTTCTTTAGCAGAAATTGATGGGCGTTCTTCAAACAAGATAATTATATTCGAAGTATATAAACTCACGGAGATGATGATTTCTAGTTTGAGATTGTAAACTGACTTTTGCATAATTGTTTATGATACAAAAAGGTTTGAGCAAGCTTGTCGGACACACGGAAAATGTTAAAAATAGACTTCAGCATCGAAGTACAGATTAATCAACCTATTTGCCATTAATCAACCCGAAAAAAATTAGCTGCAGTCTTAATGAAGTAATGAAGTTTTGAAACTGAAAGTAATCCTGGTAGAAGTACATGCAGAAGATTTATTGATGAAACTGCTTGGCGGAAAAACTAAAAAAATCGCGATCATAGTTTGACAAGAAGGAATAACCGCAGGCCCGCAGCCACAGAAATCTGTAAATATTCGTAAAGTAATGTTATTTAGAAATTTAGTTTTTTTTGCTCTTGAAAATTGTGTTTCCGACTTCTTTGGCTACTGTACAATTTCTCTTGTATTTCCGTCACCAGTATCGACATTTTCAGATTGCACCGGTTTTTAGTGGTGGTATCTTCAGGTTGTGTTGTGTACCATGCGCGCATTTTGTACCATTCCCCAAGTAGAGTATATATTTATATTCTGTCTGCTGTATCGTACATCAATTTTACTCGTATGTAGTTTGCATTTTGCCCTTCACACAGTCCCTGGTAATTGCGGTACTGATTGATCGGGGCGGAAGTGATTCTATTACTGAGCATTTGAGCGTAAGCGTGACCAACTTCCTCCCAAAATGAAGAAGATCATGAAACCCCGTTTCATCGGCATGTGCGCCGCGATAGAACAGCGTTCACCTTCTGTAACCTTTCCGGTATGCGTTGTGCTGTGTCGGCAGTGTTTGCCTTTATTTGATCCATAGGACGGCTTCGTGTTTGATAAGAGTTCATTATAGGGACAAGCCGAATCCAACACCTACGATCAAATTGCACATTTGACTTTGCTGAATACCGAGCAATTTACAAAAATAGCAGGTCGGCAATATTCTCCATACACATGCACAGTAAATTAAATTTGACTCTGTGACTTGGGTCAACACTATTGGCCATTGTGACGCAGAACACGTGTTTTGCGCCGAGTAATGCGATATTTTTACCGGGAAACTGCGCATGCCAATATAATATAGCGAACGAAATTGTTTTATATTTACATTGTAATCAATAAAACTCTATTCATAATCAATACTGCGCACTATTGTGTGATATTTGAAAAACCTACAAAGTATTTGCAGTTTGCAGTTAATGTGCGTAGTCAGTAGCTCATTCCTGCGGTTGACCTTTAACAACGGCGCCCTATTTTTTCGTCATCTGCGTATACTGTCGCGTCGCGGAGGTTGGTAATTCAGAAACTAGTTTCAAAGAAACTGAAAACCGAATCGCAGGTTGTGGGTGCAGCATTTAATTGGCTAATGGAAGAACATACTTTTCGCTCCTACGTTTTAGCCGGCAGGTATCCAAAACCTCGTTCAGTTGGTGGCAGTAACGTCTAAGCATGGTGGTGTAGATAACACAGACAGACGTCAATGGCCTATTATTAAGTCAAAAAAGCCATCAGGTGTTTTTGAGGGCGGATGTAAATGTCGTCTTGTGTATAGTATGTCCTTTGTCAGCGACCTCTTATTGGCCATTCTAGGTCTTCCCATACGTGTTATTCATACACACCATTCACTGACCATATAAAAAATGTACGAGGCATTTTGGTCATAATTCAAAAGAAGCAGTTATACCGTGATACACTTAACCGAAAAGCTATGAACAAAATCCATACTGCGATACAGAAATTCAGAATGGAATGGATGTCAAACAGGTGCTGCGCATGGTCACAAGCCACAAGCGCAAAAACTCAATAACCGTCACTTATAATGCCGTTTTATTTCTCACGACCACTTCATACCATTAAAATTCATTACAACGTAATAAATGATTGCTAGGTTATTAAGGTTAATTTTAACTGCTGATGGCGCTGTTTACGTGCCTTAGCATGACCGTTGTAATTATATAATGGAAGCTTTTATAGCTTTACCAATAATTCTTTAAATCGATTGCCAGTGCCAGGAAGACGGAGAACCTGCAAAATAATGGAACAGAATGGAAGTGATTGACGGTGGTGTAGCCGCAAAGCAAACCACCATATGCAAGTTATAATTTGGTATAAACGTAGCTATTTTATTATTTCTATACACCTGGTCTTGCAGTGTCGAGCATATTTTGAAATAAATTACTGTTGCATCAAGTCAGAAGCCATATTAAATGTTAGGTGCATCAGAATAGGAAAGATATCGCTCCCATCGAAATTTATTTATTCTCGTAAGAGCACACAACAAACGTTAACCAGAGCCATGCTTCGTCTACATCATGTTTCACGAAATCGTTAATTGGTCTACAGTTTGCGTAACAGTTCAGTTTCAAGTTCGTTAAATAACATAAACAAATTTAACACAAAACCTTATAAAGCAATTCAGCGGGTTTATTAGTTTTGCATGTACGACCACATCCAAGTTTAAATTAAGCTCTTAAATGTTTTGCATGGCAAAATTAAATCAAATCGCAATAAATATAAAGAAAGATGACGGTGACTGTATTCGAACAAGAGGAACACGAAACGAAAATTATTAACAGATTTCTTTTTAATCCGGAACATTGTAATCGTTATTATCCACAGACCGAATTTTAAGGAAAGTGGAATGTGTAAAAATTGTTGACGCATGCTACCACGTGCACTCTGTATGTAAATCGACTGCATTCTGTGTATTGCTGACATTTACACCCGGCATCCGCGGCCAGCGATCTTTAGCCTAAGAATTCACTGGCGTCCATCCGTTTGTGCGGTATTCGGCTAAGGTACTCTTCGGGTGCGTAGGCCGTAAGGTAATCCATATTCAGATGGCGCCGTAATTCCTCCAAGAGACCCATGAGTCGGCGATATTCGGCTCGGGTTATGCAGGTGCCGCTTTTAATGCCGCCGGCATCCAGGCTAACGATGCCCTTTTCTGCAACAACACCAGTCAACTGTAAAAGAACATTCGCGTGTCTTTTATCATTTTCGCAGTGAATACTTGTTTACTGGCGCGGTGTCTCTAAGGTCACCCTTACCTTTTATCTGGTTCAATAAGGCGTAACCGTGACTAGACTTAGTAATTAGTTCACTATTGATGACCTTACCAGGCGTGCACTGTGTAAGCCAGGCACCCGCCCTTGATAGAAAATATGCAACCGTGTAACTGAAAACACACTTAATCAAGCTAATACACTAGGGACTGAAATTTGAAATCAAAAACAGATTTGCAACATTTTTAAACATCATAACCATGCTTGTTTTGTGGTTTACAAAATAATACCCTTCATGCACTAGCATAAACAGGCATGACCACTGCAATAAGCACTAGCGTGTTTGCAGGTCTGATGACCTTTGCAATGCGAAACGCGTTTCTTGTTTTTCGCTAGATTTTAATTCAATAACGAATTGGTCAAGCCATACTAGGTACAGTTTTTTCCCATGCTGATTGATTTGATTGGTAACAAACAGGATTACGTTAAAGTATACCGTAGTACTGCATTTCCGCCAGAAGGCTGTCAAAGTAAATTGGTTGATCCATGACTGTAGCCTGGATTTAATAAGTCTAGACACTGAACGCTGAGTACATGGCTTCACTTATATGATGAGCATTTCACTTGCTCTTTGAAAACAACTTTTAAAAAACAAAATGATGATATTTGCGCTGGGGTTTGCTGCTAGCTGACTGCTTCTGAACATTTTTTTGTCGTCAGTTAAGAGCAGTGTGAAGGTTTTAACAAAATGCAATGACTACGCGTTACATACTCTTTCATAAAGCAGCCTATGTATGTAGACTGGTGGCTGTAAGCCTGTACCACAGATCATTGAGTACAGTATTAATCGTAAAAACTAACTGCTATGTAGCCAATGTTACATTGTGCCGTGACCTTTGCAGTCAAACAAATCGCACTGCCGCGTTACGTTTTTCAATCAAAGCGTACAACCGCCGTGATGGTATACGTGATTGCTTTCATAATAAAAAATAAGGATTAGTGTTGTGCAATGGTACTTTAAGCAAAAACAGATTTTACCCAATCGTACCGTATGCTACAATATATATTGTACTGTATGCCATAGCTTACCTGGCTCCTGATCTTGTCCCTCTTGTCGAATGATTGCCCCGTTTACCAAGCAGGCGCACACCAGTGCACATAACGCCACGATCAGGACAGTGTTGGCCATGGTGCTAATACGGGAAAAAAGCGTATATGATAATGCTATACGAAACCCGAGTATCCGGTACTATGGCTAACAAAGTGTATCCCGGTACGTAAATCTGTGGAAATTTACAAGAAAATTGACAGCCGTAAATTGTCCGACGCAGCGGGTGGTTTAAAAGTGAATGCTTAACTGGATCGCCGGCGCCGCGGTTATATACACATCAATTGCACCCGGGATTCAACGACGTTCATTTCAATTAATCACCAGTGGATTAAACCGGGAACTGTGCTGTCGAGCAGAGCGTCGGTGGTGAGAGCCGGGAGAGACTGATGTATATACGCACCGGCAGACATACATGTGTTGCAGTCAAGTACTTAACGTTTGGGAAACGATGTTGGGCAATGCATATTTCATGGTCACATTATCCGGTGGTATACGTCCGACATCCGTCATTGTACATTGGGTACAAAGGACGTTTCCCCGTGCGAGCGTGCCCGCGTTTTCCCCTTCCATTAATATTTTTCCAGCGTAGATGATGACACTCTGGTGGTTTCGTTATGCAAATCTAATGGTCTGCTCTGGCACATGTGACCCCAGCTAAATCAACAGATCGTTGTTGAACCAGCTTTGAATAGCTTCACTATATAAATGTTGTTAATTGCATGTATACTGTTTACCGTGAAGGATGCGGCTTGGGTGATGAGAAAAGTCCGGCCAAAAGCAATTATGTGGTTCTAGTCTGCTAACTCGAGCTCTTCTAAAACAGCACAGTATTTCTCGAAAAAATTACTTACTGCTAGTGTATAATTTAAACTTACGATAAAAACTTCGCATTCGATACTTTTTTATCTCTTGCCCGTGCGCATTACATATTAAAACATACCGTACATTTTGTATAAGATACTGGGAATTGTGATACAATTATTCAGGGAACATTTTTGTAAAGGTTTTAATGACGATGTACCGATCCACTGCAAATTGTCAATCGACGGAATAGTGATTCTACACGGTTGGGAAAAGGAAGCTTTATTTTGGTTGGTAAACAACATTTTTAAAAGAAAATGCAAATATAACGCGCTTCTTATAAAAGTACAGTGCAACGTACGCATTGGTACAATGCGGAATATATATATAATCGGATTAGTACAAGCTCAAATGTTAAACAAGTGCTTCTAGCAAGAACTGTATACACTGTTTTGTGTAGAAGTAAATGTTAAAACTACTGTACAGTTGTAAAAAACTGTACAGGTATAGGGTACAAACATTTGCGTACTATAAGACGCAGTTATGATCAAATATGGAAAAACCGAAAGGTCAATGGCTGTGTTCTCTTGGTGTCCGCTGTGTGAATTGACAGGTGGTTTTGGCGTCATTCCCGGAATCCTGTGTATCAATATTTCCCAGCATATACCGGCCAGTCAGCCGCGTACATCTCTTTCATTGTCCAACGGGGAAAACAGCATTACCATGGCTGATTCATTAGAGAGCGCCATTTTTCCGCGCGAAGTGCCCGGGGCTGCATTAGCCAAATGGCTGCCGGACCGAACACCGCCCGACTATAAGTGCCGCTTCCTGCGATTCTGGGCACAGTGACGACATCATCATCTGACTCACCATCAGTGAGGACCGTACCGGCATCCCCCCACTCGGGTAGGCCGGTGCGTTTTCCCACTCTCCATCCATAGCTGGTGGGATAGTCAATGAAGGACGATAGGCCGGATGATGATGATGATGATGTTGACGATGAGCGAGCACTACGCTTGCCCAAATACCAGGGGGCCTCTTCGGCGAATTTGTTCCGTTCATCTTCTAGAAAAGCGCTACGTTTAGAATTCATAAATCGTAGATAGGCCGACAGCTTTAGTGCCAGCACATCCGGATCGCACGGACTGTTGCAGGCCATATATAAACTGCCTGTAATTAAAACAGACGAAACTGGTGTATAAAAGTCAAAATCGTACATAATAGAGCTTTGAAACAGTGGACGTCACTTCACTTTGTCACTTTGCTGGTTAAAACTATTTCCGGTCTGCCGCCGGACAGCAATTACCTTTCTTAGAGTGCTTATTTTATGCACAAAGTTTTACCGGTTTAAAGATACAGGTTTTTTTTAAAACATAGGATATACAGACAGCTGACGGATGAGCTCAACCATCTCAAAACAATAAATTTGTACAGCTGCGCGTGCCAGCTTATTCGTGCGGAAAACTGCCTATTGAAGTTTTACGTATTTAACATAATTCAAAAGCTCCAGTGGCTAATTGTCCACAAATGTCAGTTGATTGCATTGATCGATTTGATAGAGGCTGCGCATTAGTTGCAGTATTAGTTTTACGTTCATCTATCTTCTGTTGTAGTCGTTTCTAAGTTTACATAAGGATTCTCAAAACTTTACAACAGCGCAAGTCAAATTACAGAGTAATTTCTGTATCGACATAATTTTCAAAAATATATTTAAATAAAAACCCATTTCAAATTTTAGGGTTTACCCTTCTTCCACTGCATTTAAATAAAATATAAATTAAGCACACAAAGATTTTTCACGGTAAGCTGTACGATCGCTACATCAATCCAAAATGCTTTTATCTGCAGTCACATGTAAAAATATAATCTACTAGCTACGTTCACACTTACTCAAATTTCTGATAAATTTTTCATCCACAACATCGTCTGCCGAAGTTTGCGGGATATCGATAAGAACAAATATGCACACCACAAGGAGTGGAACGTTGTGGAGACTACTAGGAGAAAAGCGAAGCCGGTGCGCCATGGTATTTGTTAGCGTTACCGTATTTTGACTATACCGTTGGACACAAAACTGTATCAAACGATTTTCCTACCCAAATTCAAATCTGTTTGCCGTTCGTTATATACAAAGCTACTCTGTAGCACTCTGCTGGTCAGTGTCGTGTTATGCTCATAGTTCTGGCTTCCAGGGGTGATAACGGTTCGGGTGTACGCATGTCGACACCTTGTTGTAAATTTATAAATTTTTATTTCCCAGTACACAGCGGATGTGCGCCATTTGTACCGGCAACGGTTCCATGGAAAAGGTCTGGAAACATCATTTGGTTACAGTACGAAATTGTTATTGTTTTCATTGAAACCGGGTCGTCGCACCCGTAATTAGGTTAATTAAGAACGCATCCCTAAAAAGATGACTAACCGTATAGTCCGTATAATAACGTAATCAATTTCCGTTACTACCGTTGGTTTCTTGTGAAACTGGGCAATAACTTTCAAGAAAATGGAATGAAATAGAAAAAGTCTCACCTGCAGATCGGTGCGAATAAAAATTAAAAATGTTTTCTACGATTCGTACGTACAGATGTAATTATAAGTCAAATTAACGTAAGTTTATTTCGCGCTGATTTAGTGAGCGCGAAATAAACTTACGTTAATTTGACTAAAAATAATTATATTTGTACGAATCGTAGAAAACATTTTTAATTTTTATTCTCTGTATGCGTCTCTGTATCGCATGTGCAATAATCAAGCAAATAAAGAACCTGTAACAGAACCTGTGACTATCATATAAGGAGCGGTTTTTATCCGTTTTACTTTGATTGTGACATATCTGCACTATGTTCGTCATTGTAGTGTCATACTAACTAATAATTAATTAAAGATCATTGCAATCTTCTATCGGCATTTTCATTTTAATGTTTATTTCTCTTCTCCCATTCAAATAAGGTTTCATCCATTTGGTCACCGCTCCAGGTGAACACCAGCGTTGCGAAGTTGCGAATACAGTAAGTTACCACTTAAATTAAAATTTGTGCACTCGCATGGAATGATTTACAAATCATCAATAATGTGATAGCCTATTTCCGTCATGTAAGGAGGGTTCATAAGATCAGTTGGTTTTAAGTGCTGAAGTATTAGAATTACTTGTTAGCAATAGCTAATAGTGCATTAAGCATTTCATATTTCGGACGGTGCAAAATACGCTTCCTCACGATATTTTTTTAGTAGCCGACTTCCACTAAGATTAAACCGCCTGACCCGGCTTGGTGCGGTTAACTCGTTTCAAGCAAAACATTTTAGGCTTATACCAGCATGAAGACTCGCCACTATAATAACAATCTGCATTGCTAACTGCTACTCATTATTGTACGTTCATATTTTGGATGATAGCCGAGCCAGACACGCACAATTAGCTTCGAAAATCTGTTTATGATCGGAATATTATGTCCACCTTTAATGGAAGTAATTTGCATGGGTAGACTGGAAATGCCGGTTTTGTTTCACGGAAGCAACTTATTACTGGCAAAAGCTGGCCAGACGATACTTATATATAGAGAGTCCCGGTTTTGGTTTGATCCTTAATTTGCATTATTTTAGCATCTCTAGTTCACGGTTGTTGGAGACCTTTTGGTTGGTGGCATTCAATATGGGAACGCATACGTTAGCTGCAACTACTTTTTTGCTTGTGATTGTCCTGGAATATTCACATGCATTATCATCCCAACCGTAAGTAATTACAAGCCACCTTTGGTACATGGCGGCATAATCGGTAACACTTTAAATCAACTTGGAAAGGGTACCAAAAGGCAAAATTAAAAATAATTTGAATAAAACAAATGCATGCCGATAGAAGACTGTAAAGAGCTTAAATAAATAAATATGGCATTAAAATGGCAAATTTATTATAAACTTATTAAAATCATAGTAATAAAAACCCATAATGTGCAGATCGAGCTTGTGGTTGACCATAGGCCCTTTAATCGCGCGCGTGACTCGACGTAATCCGAATCAATAAATCAATGCGAAATCAACCTAAGCTAACTTGTAAGTTTGCTAGGATAATGTACGAATTGTACTTTGTACAAAAGATTTTTAGTTCCTGCTTTTAGAAATAAATTTTTATTTTAACACAAAAAGCAATATCAGAATGAACGAAGTATGGTCAAATGCTGATAATTAATTATGTCGTAGATCAAAGAAATGCGTGGAATTCGTGATGCGTAACACTGGCGAATGTACATGCAAAGAAGCACGCGATCGAGGCGTAGATCAGTTAGGTACGCTACCTAAAATGTGCAGAAATCGCTTGCCATCGACGTACAATTATTTTTTAAAAAATGGATTAAAACTTCATAGCTCAGCCACCAGCTATCTCACAGTATAGTACGGATTTTACGCTTTTAAATCTTTTTGGATTAACATTATTTTATTATTGCGAAGGTGAAAAGTGGGTGCCCAGTTGTGATGATAATGGAAAATGGAGCGCTAAGCAAAGCGATCGCGATGGATCCTGGTGCGTTGACCAGAAGGGAAATCAACATGGAGATAAGGCGAAAATGTGGTTTGGAATGGACATCAACTGCGACTAAACAAACGTTTTTTTTATTTCTTGTGCACCGACGCTTAAATTTCCAAATCAGCGTTTGCCAGAAATTTTTAGAAAGACCTGTGACAGGCAAGCACAGAGAGCTCACAGATGACTTTATTGTACAAATAAAGTGGAGCAAATGCCGCGTGAATGCGGGGAAAAACACAACAAAGGCCAGTGTCTGGCAGAAATCAGCAAGTCAAGTTGCTGCGAGCTAGTTCTAGAGCGTAATAAAAATGTAGAGAAAGAAATGTGCTGGCGGCAACGGCGTCACGCTGTCCAGACACATGGAATGTGAGTGCGCAGACTGGACTCGTATCCAACGCGAGCGAATATACGCTGAGTCATACAGCGAGAGAGAGGAGCGAGAGAGCAAGTATGCTCAGTGAGTGCGCCCGCGGTGTATCCGCATAGGCGGAGAGTGCAGTGCAGCCACTCACGTACGTACAAGAGAGGGCGAATCAGCATGTGTGCAGTGATACGCATACGCAAAGTGGCGTATCTATCACGCAGGCTGTCGTGCCTCTAACATGCCTCTGGGCGGGAATCCGAGCTCCTGCGAGGATGCTCAGACTCAGTACCGCACCAGCGTCGCACCTCTCCGGTCGACCCATGTGGGGTCGCCGGTACGCGTCCTCTTCCAGCGGGAGTCCGGTGTCCGTTGACCGTCCCATCCTTCACTTCCAGATCCATGAGAGGCAAGCAACTCACGGCCGCAAATCTGGAAGCCGCTCAGTTCGTTGTTGGACCGGTATTGCTTCTGTTGGCCTGGCATCTTGCTTCTGTTGGCTCGCGGAGAAAGTAAAAGAAAAGTAATGACGGTTAAACAGCGCGAAGTAAAGAGTAATAAAGTTTAATCACAATTCCAGTGAGCAAAAAGTAAATGCAAAACAGATCTGGTTAGAGATTCTAAGTAAAATACAATTCCGTTTGTTAGAAAATGTACAAAAATACTAAAAAAAAGATCTGTCCGGGGGCTTATTCCGACTAGGATGACGTCCACGGGTCTTGAGTTTGCACGGGGTCTCCTGTCTAAATGCAGTCCGGTGTGTCAGGTCCGGGGCGTCAGTTCCCGGGTTACCTAACGTAACCGGTAAATCCGTACGAGGTCGGGTAAGCACGGCTGACACTTACATCCGACTCGTGTTCATCCGCTCCGGAGTGAGAGGCACTGTCGCTGTTGCGAATGCCGAAGCATCCTCTCTGATTAGGGGGAATGGACCAAGGTCGTCGGACCAAGGTCGGCCTACCGGCAAGTTAACCGGCGGCAAGGGAATTCGGCGAAGTCCCGAATTCCAAAAGTCAAGTCGGACAAAACCGTACTTGTGTCGTGCAACTTCCGTGGTCGCCAAGTGGTAACGCCGATGGAATGTGGTCGGTTTAAAACCGTTAAATCTGCTACCACGAGCCTGGTTAAGACTTTTCCGAGGCGAACTGGCTCGAAGGTCCGGTCGGAATTTGTTGCTCCTCCATCCAATAGTAGTTCATCCGACCTTCTGTCGGTCGAGGATGGGTATCCGACCTGAGGTCGGTGATAACGCACCTCCATGGTCGACCTCGGTAACTCGTGTTGTTTAGGCCCATGTGGGGCCAAACAAGTCCCGTTAGGTCGAATTCGTCCATTCCGAGGTCGTTTCCAGTTCCGATCTTCAGTTTAGTCGTCTTTCACCGACCTGTTATCGGTGACTCCTGATGTCCGACCTGAGGTCGGGTATGATGTTATCCAACCCGTGGTCGGTGGTAATGTTATACGACCTGAGGTCGGTTACCACGTGACTGGTCCGTTCAAAGGTCGTATCTCGGCTGATCCGCTGGTGTTCCAAGCGAATCGAGCGATCCGGCGTTCCTAACCGACTTCTGTGGTCGGTTGGACCGGTTCTCCGACCCGAGGTCGGTGATAATGTTATCCGACTGGAGGTCGGTTACTCCAAGTCCCAGGTCGATTAAGGTCGATTCCTTCTGTCCGGAAGTCGTTTTCCGTGAACATCCTGGATGGCGTCTCCATCCACCGACCTGTTGTCGGTTACTTCTCATGTCCGACCCGAGGTCGGTTAGAACGTTATCCGACCTGAGGTCGGTGATTCCGTAATTCCGTGTTCAACCGAGGTGAGTTACGGTATAGAGGCTCAAAAGTGGAGCCGTACAAGTCTGTTTCGGTGGAATCATCCTCATAACCGACCTGTTGCCGGTTTCCATTTTATCCGACCAGAGGTCGGACGTAATGTTATCCAACCCAAGGTCGGTGATTCTTCTTCCGGGTCGGTTGCGTCCGTCAAGAGGTCGTCTGGGCACTCCTCCGATCTCTGCGAAGTTTGTTTGAAGCGATGGTCTCTTTCATGCCTCTAACATGCCCTGGTTCGGGTCGGTGGTTTTGCCTCTGGACGGGTCCGAGTTCCGTCAAGTTCGGCAGTTCCATGGCGTCTGTTGGCCATTCAGCATGCATCCAGGTCGCTTGTGGCATCAAGGGACTTCTGTGGTCCCAATCCACAAGACAGACTCTTTGGTTTCAAACCGGCGTAAGGTTCTCGCGCCTCGGCAGCGTTGTGCATCGGGCCCCGACTTATGTCAGACTGCCCATTCCCATCCCCATGCGGCGTGCAGACTGAGGTAAAATCAGATCACTTCACTTCCCCGGTTTGGAGTTCCTCCGTTCGGTTCCGCGAACCTGTGACGCCTTGCCGCTTCTGTTGGGGAAAGACATCACACGTCCGTAGGGATCTGTATGGGGGTGCGAGCCGTGTGTTCTAACACGGTCTGCCTAGGATGTTCCATTTGAGACATGGGGAAGCAGGTCGCGGCGGAGTCGTTGGTACGTCAGTAGCCAAATCACCGTCGCTGTTCCTCTTCAGGTAATGGCAGCACGGTCAAGCCGCGCGTAGTCGTGGTCACCGGTGAATCGGTTGGTTTATCCGATATCCTCCGGGGGAGACTGCGGTTGGACTCCAGGTACAGGTTCCTGGTTGAGAGCCTGTAGGTCCGGGTTCAAACGGAGAATCCGTCCAGGCTAAAATCGTAGTCGGGTGTCGCGGTTTGCGGTCACTATTACCGACTTCTGTGGTCAGTAAAGGCTACGATAAACCATCCCGTCTGTAATTTCCATATGCTTCCGTCAGGTCGACGTCGGTTGGTCGAATGGTGACTTCTGAGGTCGGCTACCGTTGACAAATCGACTTCTGTGGTCGATTCTAGGTAGCGGGTCGTAGTTGACACTGTCCGTTCCGTTGCAGTCCAATTGATTCCGTGTTATTTAGGGACTTGTTATCCTATCGGCCGTCCGTTTCTCGGAGTTAACCGTGGGTGCCTTGGCAAGCATGGTCCGTGGTTGCCTCCAACCTCCGCCGATGTCACCGATCTTATGGTGCCTGAGGAGCTGGAATGCGATCTTCGGTGTCGCAAACTTCGGTCCACAGGTCGCCAGGGCCTTCAAGGCCGCAAAGGTGTACATCCATCCCGGATCGTATTCCGAGACGCGTGGAGGTAGAGTATGAGCACGTTTAATGGCCACCGTCGGGTGTTTGACGTTTACCTTCGGTAGGCTAGGAATCTGTAACGGTAGGACTTCCTGGGTATCCTCATTCCATTCCTGGAGGAGTTGATTCGGGTCGGAATCTGGTGTTAACCGTACTTGTTGACGGTAATTCTGGGGAACGTAGACGTCACCACTATCTTCCTCCATCGGCCCGTCAGCTTCGTTGCCGTTGTTGGCCGGTGGTTCGTTCTGATTGTCAGAAATCTCCGGTTCACCCTGCTGTTGTGGTGCCGAAGCTGGTGGAGGTTGGTCGTCGTCATCATTATCGTCATCCTCCGACCCTTCTGGTGTTTGATAGGTGTCGTCATCGTCCTCATCTTCTTCTTCTTCATCTTCGTCTTCTTCCTCAGAGGGCGTTTTCTCCTTGGTCTTCACCGACTTCTTCGTTGATTTCAGCGGTTTAGGTTGACTCTTCCGTAGAGTCTTACCTTCCGGAGCCGGTGAAGTTTCCATAGGTGAGGTCGGTGGAAGAGATTGCGTGTCTTTCACCGCAAAACGTCCAGTTGTAGTCCGACCTGGCTTAGTTGCACTTGCCCTTGCTGGTGCCGAGGCGGTGTTGACATATGTTACCGGTTCGAACGGTGCCCGAGGTCGGTTGGTTGGTAGTCGTTTCTGTGACGACATACCTGACGCCCGTGCAATGTTCAACATGTCCGCCGCCTCGCCGGATGGTTGTTCCTCCGACTCACTGTACTCCTCGACGATCATTTCGGTACCTTCGGGAGAGGACTGTAGGTTGATAAAGGACATCCGGAGTTTGAAATCGCGTCGTTGCTGCTCCGGTATGAACCGAGGTACTGTGTACCGAAGTGGTAAATCGCGTTCCGCGTTGGTCGTTTGGAGGGAAAACTCTGCCACCATCGTTGCGATGACAGGTCTTAGAAGGTCCATTATGACGTCAATATTGCCCTGGCTGTTCTCGTACATAACGTTGTATATACGGGCGATATGTAGTAAGGAGGATCCGCGGGGGTTTCTTGCGTATCCGATGCATCTGACGATTCTCGTCGGCGGGTCGTCCAGTGCTCTGGCAGCGGCACTTTTGAGCTTTTGAATGATGTCCGGTGCGATTAGCTCGGCGGTCCGTCCCCATTGTCGGTGGACCGCTACGGCTAATCCGAAGTCCAAGGCCCATGCCACTATAGCCATCATAAGTTTCTGTGTGAGCCAGGGTGAGGTCCGACCTACGATCCTTAAGTTGGTCGAGAGGTCGCGCACCAATGACTGGTACACATCTCTGCCTTCGTTTCGGGCGTTCCTAACGCTTCGGACTATTTCGACGTGAAGTCGAACCGTATGAAATCCGACTGGTCGGTCACCAGGTTGAGCGTCGGGTAGCCGCTGACGTACGTCATCAGGGGCTGGCCATTCAGAAGCGTCGGTGTCTTCTTCGTGACTCCATTCTTCATTTCGATCGCCTTTAAATCCTTCGTATGGATCGGCTTCTCCATGGTCGGAGATCTCATCGTCGGGTTCCGAGGGTTTCTCTGATTCATCGTCCGAGTCTTTCTTGGACGTAGAAGGTTTCGGTTGCTTGGGTGGTGGCTTAGGCGTCGGCTTAGACCTTTCGTGTGGTCTTTCGGCCTCCGTTTTGGTCGCCG